AGACACTCAGTCAAAACTCAGTGGTTCCCATGGCTGACCATACCAACGATTACCCAACTTCGGGAACTATGGAGGGGAGGGGAGGGGAGGGGAGGGGGGGGGAGAGGGCCTCGGTACACAGGTGGGTCAGATGATTAGAAGATAGGGGATCTTTGTATGGCGTTGAGAAGGCTTGGTTGACTCCGGGAAATCTTCACAATATTGTTCAGTCAAGGTGCGTCAGTGTCTCTCTCGGCGGCGCCGAAACGGACGAGTCGGGACGTCTCCATGGCTCTATCTGCCTCGCTGACTAAGAGTGGCCACCCCTCGACCTGTGCCGGGCAGGGAGTTGCCGGCTCGCGAAAGGCGGAGAAAAAGTAAAAGTGCGTGTATACGTGTGTAGGTGTGTGTGGTGGTGACGGCGGAGCATTGGAGAAGTTGAGCTGTGTTGTGTTGCAGGTGAGACGGGGTGACCGGCTCGGTGGTTGGCAAGTCGTCTCGCTCCGGTGCTCGTCACGTCGCCACACACCTCTCGCTACTTCCGTTAGGTACTCTATTACGAGCCGTTCTGTTTCTTCTATGTGGGGTTGTGATTGGTTCAACGGGGCTCGTTCGTGAGATGACATGTCGTCATCCCCAGTACCGGAACGCCTTCGTATGCCTATCCACCGTCGGTGCCTGGTGATTGGGCCACCGTATGTGTTACCTGTCAAAGCGTGATACTAGGTACTTAGTAGTCCTTCGTGTGCTCTCCGTGGCTCCTGGCCGGTTGGGAAGATGCCTGGACGGCTAAACAGGCTTAGTTCGTTTTGTGCATGACTCCGGCTATCCGTTTCGCACCTGTTTAGCGAGGTAGTGCCTCTGCTGATGCAGAGAAGACGCAGAAGCGATGGCAGATCGGGAACAAGCAGCTTTAGTTGTCGGTGGGGAAGGAGACGGGAGACCCCATAATCGGCAGGGAGAGACAAGTCGAGATCACGACAAATGAGTTGCTCATCTCTCTCTCATCCACGATAGCCCCTGTTTTCTCATATCCAAACCCCCTCTCTGCGCGTGCTTGTCGGAGTCAGCTAATGTTGACGATTACTACCCTTGCTGAGTACATACACACATTATATGCATATACATGTCCGTGTACCAACGTTGTATGCACAACCTTCCTGTGGCAGACCTCTAGACCCGAGGGCGGGCACATATATAACTATGTATACATATACCCACGTTTTTGTGCTTTGCAACAGCTTATAAGGGCAACTGATATAGCTATATCACTGCCGGCATTGTACGGCTGGACTTGTTCCCGAGGAATGTTTCAACGCTGCCCTCTCTGTCGTTCCAGTACTGTGAAGGGAGCAAACGCCGAATCGTCCGAGAAGGGATGGATGCGTGGCTTTTGTAGGTATATGTAAGTGTGTGTAGTATGTACCTAGGTGGTAGGAGGTATGTCGAGCCGGGCTTCCATTACTTTACCCACCCCTCGATGAGGAATACTTAGCGAGCCAACCAACCGATCGAACGTTCTATGTACGTGTGAAGTATGCAAGTATGCATGCAATTGCCTACATATGTGTGTGTATTGCTAACTCCTACGACCAGGAAGGCCTGCCTGTTATACCACACACATGCCTAGGAGGTAGGAGGTACATAGGAAGGAGAATGTACATGCGCAGAGGAGCCTACTCATAGAAATTGCATTGACTTGCGTTCACCCTAAAGTCATAGTTGTCAAGACGCCATCGCGGAACCACGTGAAGGCGGTTCCTGGGCGTTAGCGTAAGCCAGTCTGGCGCTATTCCCAAGCTCTTGGGTAGCGCAGTCTCCATTGCCCGCCTCCAGATCTATCGATTCTAGTGCCCTACCTTAGAATTTGTCGATACGGCGGCTGAGAGGCCATTCGACGACATTAGAAGCCCATAACGGGAATGCCACCGAAGATTAGCTACCTAAGCTAAGCTGGCCACGCAAACGGCGTATTCGTGGCTAGATTCCTCTTGCTGTCCCGCGCACCACATAGGTACATAGCCAGGTGGTAGGTCCGGGACAAGTTTGGAGATGATGCCTGACAAGACGACTAACGAACCGATGCAACACTCTCTACCCAGGGTCTCAGTTCACGTATGTACATATATGGTATCGGCGTGAGGTTGGCAAGCTATCGTTGATCTCCTTCGGCTTGTGACTGCCCCCTCTCTCGGCTCGCGTTCGTAGGTAATGTGAGTATGAACTTGAGTGAAGAGGGTCTTGGTTCTTCCTGGCAGTGGGGTGTATGTACATATGTACCTACATATACATACCTACACAGATGTTATCCATGGACATGGATTATAACATGGTTTGGAAAACAGGGATTGACCCCATGTCAACAAGGGTAGAGAAAAATTCCTATCCCATGTCTATCCCATGCCATCAGACTAAAAGTCGACAGACCCCTTGATAACGGTCCCTGGCTCAGCTCGACTTCTCTTTTGGGTCCTTCACCTAGACTCCCAGGATGCTGTTATGGGCCGGCCCACCCCGCGGGCTTGACGAGACAGGGTACCGGACCGTCAACCTCTCCCCCCCCATCGAGTCCTTAATTGCAATGCTCTCTGTGCGCACATGATAGGATATGAATCGGTGGCCACCTTGGTCCTTATTCCGTACATATACACAAGGGGCTGACGGCCAAAGTATTATACCTGGCACGTGGTGTTCGACGGTAAGGTGGCGTTACATCCATGAGGTACCTACCTACCTACCTACCTACCTACCTGATACCTACTTTTATATGTATGTATATAGGTTAGGTAGGTATGAATAGGTATGGTAGATATATTCCTCAATATTTTGTAGCACCATGTAGCGACATGCGTTGATGTACATATATATTCATCTCGCGCAGAGAGGAGCGGACAGACCCTCGCACGCTCGTTCGCGATGTTACTTACACCCGCCCATATCCACACTTAGCAGGATGGATGGGATGTAAGGTACCCCTGATGCTGGGGAGGGGGAGGATCTCCAGCCTACCTGTGCACAATGTAGTAACAACCACCCCCAGCATCGTAGCAGTCGTAATAATAAACGAGAGAATAATATAGGTAGGTACGTACATACGATACATAACATAGGTACCTAGGGACCTACCTCCTCTACTACATTTGTATGAACTACTACTATTATAATGATGTAGGTAGTACAAGCATGCGTGTGTATTCATGTAGACATCATACCCGCCATATGTACATAGGTATGTACACACTCGGAATGTACCTAACCTAATGTACTTGATCCCTACGGCCCCCACCTAGGTTAGGTAGGTCTTTTTCCCTCCTCCCACTGCCTCCTCTGCACTGCTCTCCTGAGAGTCTCCCTCTCAACCACCCCCCCCCCCTCGCCCCCCCCCCCAATTCCGACGACTCATTTCTCGCAGGGCCGTGTCATTCTCTCCTACGTCTAGAGTTGTTTCCAGAGTTGTCAACGCTCATTGTTGCTAAATGTCAGTTGCGCACTGCCGCTCCGTCGATTATTGCCGGCCAGGACCAGATACATAACATATACGCGCGCGCCATATCCTTAGCGGCCACCAGAGGATTACATACAGTAGACCACCCGTTCTGGCATTCTGAGTCCAGGGTCTACCTTGCTTCTGAACGAACTGGGGAGGGGAGGAGAGAAGGAAAAAAAGAAAGCAGCAACTCGAAAGGCCGGGAGGAGTCCGTCCCCCTTTCTCTCAGTGACGGCACTCCGGTTCATCAGACCAGTTTACCAGCAACTTCCTTTTGCCAGTTTGCAGGGAAGGGTTGGCAGCCTGATTGCCGTTTCTGAGCACCACATCGGGGTGCTCTTTAACTCACATCTTATTAGGAAAGATATTGTGAGAAGCGCTAGCTCCCATCTGCTAAGAGGCCAGGAGGATCCCGACAACTAGGGAACCCGTCTGGTGTCCCCTCTCTGTCTCTGTTTCTCTCCCTCTCCCTCTCCTATTACTCTGATTATTGTTTCCCAACCGCCACGACCGCGAACCACTGCGTAGCCTAGCGATTGCGAATAATCTCGGGGATAGTGGGATACGGTTGACTTACGGCTATATACATAGTCTGACCCGGCAGGCTGTCCAGTTTCAGAAAGCAGGAAGCCTTGTCTCCCTGCATAGATGCGCCATCGCCGACATTCAGTCTTCTTGGTGACGGGCATTGAGAATACCCCAAACTTGAAACGGCCCTTAAGCAGTCAGTTGTCACAGCCGCCCGAAAGCAGAAGCAGAGCATCGGTTACTAGTCTTCTCAGCTCTGGGGACACGGCACCACTAGCAGCGACACCACCACCACCACATTCGTTGTCACCACTGTCCTGGATATCACCGTCCTCCTCACCCATCTGCATCAGAGCCTAGCAGCAGCACTCGCCTCACCTACCCACCCACCAACATAACCCACCAACCCCGATTTCCACATATCCAACGTCTCTCATGTTTGGTCGATCATCGTCAAAGTCATACGGATTCTCTGGCGCTACTGGTTCGAAGGACCACAAATTTCGAGAGGGACAGCTATCGAACTTGTTCGAGCTGGGCCTGTCGAGACCTGGAGTTGAGTCGCGCTCTCTCCGTTCTCTGCGGAGAAAGAAACAGGACGACTGGAATAGCCTCCACAGTACCCCGTCTTATCCCGAGAAGAGTAAGTCTCCGACCTCAATCTCGTTCTAGCTTGTCCTGTCCTGCCCCGTCCCGTTCCCGTCTCTGCATGCGTGCGCGTCTGCCTCTCGCCCTACGTTCTGGTATGGACTGCGGATTCAGTCTTCCCTTCCGCGGGGGCCCCATTGCAACGGGTTATCGCATCTCTTCATTGCGCAATCGTAGGCGTTACGGTGCTGATTTTTTTCTTCGACGATTATTAGATCATTCCATATCCGCGGCCAATTATCGCCCGACGCCGCAGCCGCAGCCGCAACCGCAGCGGGCGCCGTCGCATCGCTCTAACACTTCTATCAGCTCCTCTACCTCTCGAGATACCATTCGCCAGAACAACATGTCGGGAATGATGAACACGGACCGGGGCCGGACGCGGAGGGAGAGGACCTTTGTGGGGAGTGAGTGCGCCGTCTGTGAGGAGCCGCTGGAACACACGCTCCGTGGAGAGAGGATCCTGCAATTTTCGTGCTCGCACGTTTCCCACGAGGCCTGCTTCTACGAGTTTATCCGCGATTTCGAGTCGCAATATTGCCCAGCATGCAATGCGCCCTTGCATCTAGATACGAGCCGTGGAGGCAACGTATTAGATATCGGTAAGCCCCCACTCTTCGAACCAGAGTGCCTCCTTTTTAGGCCTTTCGAGTGTGTACTGATATTTGCCACGACGTAGAGAGGATAACAAGCATGGTGCGATCAGCGTCGGCTGGCGATAGTAGATCACTGACGACACCGACACCGAACCCGAGTAACGCCTGGGAGAGCCAGGGTAATGGCCGGCCACCTAGTGGGGAATCGAATGGTAGGAGTATAGCCCCTAGTAACGGTCGTGAGAGTGCAGCCCGAGGTAGCCTGCGAGACAGTCGGGAAGCACCCAGTTCGGAACGGTACAACGGGGCGAGACATGGGCGAAGCGACAGCGAAGCAACTGGTGTCGCTTCCTCCACTGGATACCCTGAGACGGCGCAGAGCGGACCGCCGCGCCGACACGACTATGACGTCCAAGCCATGGAAACGACGCCCGGCAGCCCGAGACCCATGTCGCGAAACCCGATCCCGCCGCCTTCCGTCGTGGTCCGGTCCGAGTTCCCTACCATAAATCGATCGAGACAGCAGCAAACCCTTACCTGCCTGGTCACGGTAGAGGTAGCTGATAGCAAGTGGAAGCCAGATCCCGAGGACCTAGCAGTTGTGAATCCGGCACCACCTATGCGTATAGAGGATGCGTTCGCGCAGAGACCGCCTTCGCCAGCGAGGAGCTCGCAGCCACGTTTCTACCCGTACGAGGCTCCAGAGGTACTCGAGGAGATGACCGAGAATCTAAGGAACCGGGTTGACAACTGGCACGGACTGGATTTCAACAGGTTAGTTGTTTTCCTTGCTCAGGCATTTCTCACCTACAGGAAGGGGAGCAGGGGGTTGCAGAGGGATGGGCTAACACGAAGCGCAGATTTGGAAAACTGCGGCTCTACGGCACTCTGCGAGTCGGAAAAGATAAGGTTTCGTGGCAAGAACTAGAGTGTTATCTCTTTGCGGAGATGCTCATCTGTGTCAAAGAGAAAAAGAACCTCCCGCCAACGCACCAGCAACAATGGGACGAAAACGGAATGCCTCGGAAGGCGACACGGTGTACCTTAAAGGGGTCCATACTCATCAAGAAGCATCTGAATGAAGTCACAGAAACTGGTATGAGTGAGTCGTCAGTTGAATGGGAGAGCAGGAGACATGGCTAATTCATTTTTCGCAGTCGACGAGAACATCCTGACGCTCAGTCTCTCTGTTACCGAGCTTCCGCAGTTCCACCTACGTTTCGATAACCGAAACCAGCTGAAGTTGTGGCAGCAGGCTCTGCTCGATCTCAACGCGGTCGAGGGATCTCCGATCAGGAGTCCGGACTACGAGCGGGCTGAAGCGTCGGAGACCGACGACGAGGAATGGGGCCGGAACCGGCAGCGGGTTTCGTCGCTGGCTTCTTCGTACGGCGGGCCTAAATCTGTGACGACGGCCCCGACCGAGTACACAAGCGTCGTCAAGAGCCCCCTGATCTCGTCGTTCCACGTACCGATTGACGTAGTCGTTGTCGTGCCAATCTCGTCGTCGATGCAGGGCGTCAAGATCAACCTTGTGCGAGACGCCCTGAAATTCATGGTCCACACGCTCGGTGAGCGGGATCGCATGGGCCTAGTTACGTTCGGCTCGGGAGGCGGCGGTGTGCCCATCGTGGGGATGACGACGAAGGCGTGGCACGGGTGGCACAATATCCTGGCCTCGATCAAACCCGTGGGCCAGAAGAGCCACCGCGCCGACGTCGTGGAGGGTGCTAACGTCGCCATGGACTTGCTGATGCAACGCAAGTACAACAACCCGATCGCGACCATCATGCTCATCAGCGACGCTTCTACGTCTGACGCTGACAGCGTCGATTTCGTCGTCTCGCGAGCGGAAGCGGCCAAGTAAGATCTTTTGCCAAAACCCCCCTCCCCCTTTTCTTTTAGATATAATCGTATGTGTGCTGACTGATTTTCTAGGATTACAATCCACTCGTTCGGTCTCGGCATGACACACAAGCCGGACACCATGATCGAGCTGTCGACGCGGACGAAGGCGTCTTACACATACGTCAAGGACTGGATGATGCTGCGCGAATGTCTCGCGGGCTGCCTGGGTTCGATCCAGAGTCTGTCACACCAGAATGTCAAGCTCAAGCTTAGGCTCCCCGAGGGCTCGCCGGCGCGCTTCCACAAGATCAGCGGCGCCTTGCAGATCACGAAGCGCGCGACGGGCCGGGACGCCGAGGCTGCACTCGGTGATCTGCGCTTCGGCGACAAGCGCGACATCTTAGTGCAGCTCGTCATAGTCCCCGACAACGCGTCACAGGAGCAGCTACCGCAGGACCCCTGGGAGACAATCGTGTCCGGCCTCGAGGCCCTCGGTGGCCCCGTCGACCACGATGATCAGCGCACCCTCTCCGTCGAGGAGCTCCCCCTCATCCAGGCCGACCTTGTCTGGGGCGACATCCTGCGCGACGGCACCATGATGCACCTCCCGCGCCCCTCCCTCCTTGCCATCACCATGCTGCCCGCCCCTGGTACCAACTCCAAGAAGTCTTCGTGGCAGATCAACCCACCGATCCCGCCCCACCCACACATCGTTCAGCGCCGCATGGAGCTGCTCACATCGGACATGCTTACGCGAGCGCTGACGCTCGTCACGCGCGGCCAGCACGACCGCGCGCACACGCTCCTCAACGAAACACGGTCGATCCTCAAGGGCCTCGGTAAGGGAGGCCTGCCGCCGGTACCGGTGCCGCCGCTGCCGCTGTCAGGAAAGTCAAATCCGTCGACGCCGCAGCCAGGATCCGAGGGGTCACCCATCTCAGCGACGCCGGATCGGAAGCACACACCATCGCCGACAGCTTCGGCCCACTCGTCGGGTGCGAACGGCGGTGGGTTCCCCACTGGCACGCTGCTTCCGCGGAGTCGGTCCAACGACGGCCTGGCGCTCGGTGCCGCGACTGGCATCGACGCCGGTACTGTCGCCGCCCTCGACGCCGAACTCGAAGCCAGCCTCGAGTGGATCAGTCACCCCGCTGTCTTCGGCCGTGATAGCCGCAAGGCGGTCCTCCAGGCCATCGGCGTCATCAGTAGCCAGCGCGCCTTTACCTTCCGTACTCCCATCGAGAGCCTCTGGGCCGCCCGCGTTGGTGGCGTCAAGCGCCTCACCGACAAAAGTCGCGAGTGGCGCGAGGAGGCTGGAGGCGAAGGCATCATCGAGGAACCATGAGGGGGGGAGGCGAGAGAAAGAGAGACAGAGAGTTTAGCTCTGAAATACGAGAGAGGGAAGAGGGAGGGCGAGTCAGCGAGGCGTTAAAACTATGCGAAAAGGGGTGGTTCTTCTGCTTTCCTCTATACGATCACGCATGCAACGATATTAAAGCAGGCAACGCCAAAGGAGAGGCTATCATCTATGCCGGGGAGCCTTTTGAAGGATCCTTCTGCACGTCCGAGATAGACAGACGACCTCTACGGGATCATGTTATGAACGACCGATTCATTCTACCTATATGCCGGGCCTCTATATTTCACCAACGAACTACCATACAGCCTATTACTTACGGCTATCACCGCCACTCATGAACCCTTAGCACCACCGTCACCGACGGTGGATTCATTTCCAGGCTTTTCTCCCCGCGCTGCGAATTCTTTTTTCTCCCTCGCCGTCACTTCTCCGTCTACGTCGAAATCCATATTTTTCTGCCTTTGCTTTACGGTTCGCCGAGTCTTTACGTCTGCCTATGCCCACTTTACTTGAATCCTCCCCGTTCCGGATATCGTGTGCCTTTTTTTTCCTACTCGATTATGACTTCAAGATACCATTTTGGATTTTTTTCGCCCCCCTACTTGTGGCGTTGATTATACTTTTCAAAAAGAAATAAAAATCAATCCTTTGCGAAACCGTGAGCGGACGGGACAAATTTTTACGACCTTCACCACTACTGCGGCCTTTGCCTGTCTGCAAATACCCATGGTTTTGCATGGCTGACTGCATTTATACATGTATCACAGTGCCTTCAGAGTCTTTTTTCCCCTCCTTTTCGTCACCCCGGGATGAGAGAAAATAAGGAAAATGTATGGCGCGGCCCCCCCCTACCCCTCTAGAGGGCCTGTTTGTTCTATTTGCGGTGGACTGATATCGAAAGGGAAAACATCGGTGTCTCAAGGTGTGTTGGGGGGAAAAGGGGGTTCGTGGGTTGGATCAGCCAGGCCTAGGTGACACTGCTGGTATTTGGTTAGGAGGCAGGGGGAAGGAGGCTGATTGGTGTCTTTACCGAACGTTGTATATTACGATTTGTATGGTTTGCTACATAAGACATCTCGGCGGAGGAACTCCGTTGCAGGGCCTCGAATACCAACTGTTCTATCACCTGGGACTTCGCGTAATGAACGATAGCAAACACCGATGTCGCCAGTCTACCCTGTGCCTGTGGGACTAGCGACGACCTATATCAGATCTACTAAGATATAATCGCGATGCCAAGTAGAGAATACCGGGGGCATTAATTGCCAATATATGCAACTCTACTGGCAATACGGCCGGCCCTAATATCCCGACATGGCTATGAGCATCCAGCTACGAAGGATCGATCCTCCCTCATGCGAGCTAAGACTATTGAGTATAAAGGGCCAACAGTACAATAACGCGCGTCTAGGTACCGCCGTTTTTACCTACTATTCGGGGCAAGCGATGGATAGATAGGCGTTGATTGGGCATGGTAGTAGAGTACCACCACGGATCGGATAGGGCAAGACGTAAATTGGAGCTAAACCAAGAACCAGTTTCTCGTCCAGTCTATGTAGTTCGGACGCGTGGGACTCGTATAGAAGATGGGGGGTAGAGAGATTTATAGTGCATTATCACTTATTAGTTGCTTCATAGGCAAGTCTTATCGAAGTCCGCTCTATAGCAGCTGCTCATCTGGTCCGTTCCCTTTTACTTCCCTCTACTTACTTTCCCTTCTTCTCTAAGCACAGGAGAAAGGAGCAAGAAAATGCTACAGTACTGTGGAGAAACATACATTACAGCATAGCTCACTAGACGAGTACTAAGCTATTACCGGCTGAAGAGTGTCTGTCCAACGCAGGCTCTCGAGGCCTCAGGTTCCGCTTTGCCTAGCTTATGAGATTGGTATGGCTAACGTGGTACCAAACCAAGATATACGAAGTCGAAGGCGTCGTGTCTATGTGTGGGCACTCGGTGGTCAAGCGAAAGAGCACTCTCATAAATAACGCTCGAATACCTCTTCAGCCTAAGGTCAGCTCAGTCACCAATAAATATCAATTTTCATGTGTAGATTGGCCGTCTATACTCGCGTGGAACTCTGAGGTCCCCCCCCCCCTCTGCTCCCCATAGGTAATGTTTGTTTTTATTTAACTACCCTATTGCAATCTCTTCAGTCCTCGTCCCAGTTCGGGTTGGGACCCGGCGGTTTCGGTCCGCCGGCTTGTCTCGCGACGATGATCTGGTCCACCGAGAGCACAGTTCGTGCTGCTTCCGTGGCCAGCTTGATAGCCCAAGACTTCGTAACCATAAGATCTAAGATGCCCTTCTTCTTGGCGTCTAGTGTATCCTCGTCGCCCTGTAAAGATTAAGTTAGTCTTGTATTTCTGGCGTAGATTATAAGCATCGGCGCCCTCACCTCAATATCGACCCCTGTGGTCCAGTTATCTTTCTTGTGGTGTGCCGTATACAACTTGCTTAGCACCTCCGTGGCGTCCAACCCGGCGCTCTCCGCTATCGTCCTTGGTACCACCTCAAATGCCTCGCCGTATTTCCGGATGGAGTACTGCGGCAAGCCTGATGTCTTGTCACCAAAGGCTTGAATTCTGCCCACCAGTTGCAGCTCCGTTGCACCCGCACCGGGTACCAGTCGCGCATCACGGGTTATGGCTTTGACCACGTTGACTCCGTCGTCCACTGCCCGTTCGACATCATCGAGATAGTTTTGCGTCGCGCCCCTGAGGACGATAGTTGCTGTCCTCGTAACTTCATCCTCCTGTCGGAATACCGTCACACGATCTCCACCGATCTCGAGGGTTTCAACGACGTCTATAGACCCCATCTCGTCCGGCATAGGGGCGCCCAATCTTGCGAGAGGGGTGGCACCGACAACTCGGCAGACCCGCCGCAACTCAAACTTGCTTAGGATCTTTATGACAAGAATGCCATACCGGTTAAGGTAGTGTAGAGCAAGCTCCCCGACGGTCGAGCCGGCGATTACGACTCTCAACCCGACGTCGTGCAACTCCTTGATGGCGGTCTCTAGCTGGGTCTCCTCCCCCTTGGTGAAGTCAATCATCTCCTTGGCGTTATGCAACAACACAGTGCCCTTCGTTTCAGTTTGGCTAATGTCGATAGAGCACGAGAAGACGCCAACCTTGGCCTTCTTTGCTTTCTTGACGGACCCATCTGGCTCCTTGGCGAACACCATGCCCTTGACCACCCGGCTCTGCTCCAAACTTCCGCCCATAATCTTCACTACCCGAATATTGTCGACATTGAAGTTGGAGGGGTTCTTGGGGAGTACGGCAAGGACAGCTTCAGAAACGAGGCTGGCCAGGGTATCCTCATTTCCGTTCTGCTTGCTCGCTACTACCGTCCGGATTGCCTTGCTCAATTCTTCCTGGTTTCTGATATCTTCCACCTTGTCTACGACGAGCTCTTCTAACGCTTCGAGGGCAAAATTCTGGGCGCGCTCATAGCCAATCACTATATCAGCGGTTTTCAACCCCATGCGGAGTAGGTCTTCGGCCTTCTTCAGGAGTTCTCCAGCCAGGACGATGACGAGGTTCGTGGCGTCACCCATCTCGGCCTCCTGTTGCTGGCTTGCCATGACGAGTAACTTCGCAGCGGGGTGAACAACGTCGAGCTCCTTGAGAATAGTGGCGGCATCGGAGGTGAGGATCATCTTTTGCAGATGGTTGATGATGATCTTATTTCGGCCATAGGGACCTAAGGAGGTCTGGACGGTGGATGAGATGGCTCGGCAAGCGTCAATGTTCCGCAGCACGGCTCCATCTTCGGAATCGTAGCTGCAGGGTCTATCGTTAGGCCTCTCTTCTCTTCCTTACGCGACCTGCCAACGATCGTGGGGGTGGGTAGGCATACTTGTTGTAGCCCTGCTTGAACAGGCCAGCATTTGGCGCGCTGGGCACGTTCAACGACATATCTGCTGGAATCTTTCTCAAGGATAGAGAGCGGGTTGCGTATGCCCGAGTAAGGCTTCTCTATGGGCGTCGGTGAAGCGAAAAGCTGTTGAGCAGTAAAATGGGGTTGGTTGAGCCCTGCCTGGGCTAACTGAGGTAATCGATAGATTATCGAAGCTCTCCCTCTCGAGTATCTCCGTAGGGGAAAAAAAAAAAAAAAAAAAAGTAGCGGGGCTATCTCCCTATCGAAGCTGAGGTGGACTTAGAGGAGGTAGGTACCTAAGGCAGTTAACGAAGGTATGTAGGTAGGTAGGTAATATGCACTTTACACCCTTATCTGATCACAATTCATTTAGGTACCTACCTACAATTCCTACCAGGTACCTAAGCTAATGCACGGGGGGGTTAACATCCCCACCTGTATGTACCCAGGTACCTAGATACATTAGACGATGCCCCCAGCAGCCTCAACATAGTGGGCCTCTAGCTTATGAAACAACCCAATCAAAAGCTGCTGGTATTTCCCATCAGCCTCGTCCCTTGCATGCTTCCGAGCTGGATGCTTCTTCCACTTCCATCTTTCCGTCGTCTGCGTATCTGTGCCATCTCACTCTTCTCAACATCCTCTTTAGGTCCAACACCAACACCAACACCAACCATTTGGCATCCTATAAACGTATAGAGAGGCACATACTGTTTTGCTTTTCAAAAGTGGCACGCATTCATTCGATCCTTCGTTTCCTTCACTCTAGCAATCGAGGCTGAGTTCATTCAGGCGCATCGCCAACAAGCAACTGTTTTCTACCATTGCCTGCTTTTCAAAGCAGTCTACTGGCCACCGGTGCCATTGCTAAAATGGCTCCGCAGAACTGTAAGTGAAATTCCCTAGATCATTCTGCCCGGTCGGCGACACAATCTGTACCCCCCACCAGTCTTCTTTATGGCCTCCTACCCAATTGGAAACTATTCAGATAACCATACCTCTATCTCTTCAAGCCTAGGAGCTGATAATGGTGATTCCGCAGTGAATCCGCCCTCCCTGCCCCCCACTGTGGAGGAGGCATATCGCCGAAAGTGCATCCAGTTGAAGGAGCGAACCAAGGAGATCGAAGAGGAGGCCAAGGCCTACCAGCTGCGACTAAGCCGCCTCCAACGTCAGGCACAGAAGCTCCGTCTCGAGCGCGCGTTCCTCCTTGAGCAAGTTGCCAAACGTACAAGCACCAACGTCGAGGACTCCGACGGTAGTCCGAGCCCACCACCTACTGTACGTAATTGCAGTTCGCTCATTATTATTTGAATCTGGTCGGACACAGACTTCTAATAATATTCGCCAGCCTAAGGACAAACCCCTGCGCACCAAGCGTGGCCACCGAAAACCCTCTCTCCTCCCCGCCAACGAGAACAGCGTCGGTACTAGCACAACCTTCATCAACCAGAACCTGACTACGCTCTCACCGAGTTCCGACGCTTTTTCACACTCGCAATTAGACTCACAGAAGGACCCCGGCCGCAACGCGACAAACGGCACAACTCCCAAGCGCCCTAAGCGACCGAGCAACGCGTTCGAGATCTACTGCAACGATAAACGACCGGTCCTCCAGGCCCAGAACAAGGATCAGATCGAGGCAGGCGAGTTCCGACTTGAGGAAGAGTTGGCGCGCGGCTGGAAGGACCTTCCTGATAAAGAGAAGGAGGAATTCCAGGCGCGCTACGAGCAGGAGTTAGCGCAGTACAAGGAAGCGGTCGAGGAATTCAAGCGGGAAACTAAGAGCGCCGCGGCCCGTGAGCGTTCGCGAAATCGCGAGACCAACCGCTTCAGCCGCGGCGGACGCACTCGCGTCGAGGAGCTACAGGAGGACGAAGCCGGCGATGAGGATCCGGACGTCGAGATGGCAGACTTAGGTGACGCCGCCGACGCAGGCGCTGCCGACCCTGATAACACCGACCCCGAGACAGAGGTCGATAATGACGACTAGAAAGAACTACCAGAAGATTTGAGCGTCTGCTATTTACGGCAGTAACCGCCAGGCCGACAGAAAGTGAGCCGAAAACGGCGCTCACCGCTCCGCCCAGTTGTCGATCTATAGTACCCTCCTTTGAGGCCTTGAATCAGACACGAGCTTTTTAATTTTTCTCCTTTTTTTCCCCCTCAATCAATATATCTTTTTACTTTTTCGCCGGCTCCTGGACTGTTCAGGACGCAGGGGAAGAAGAGATATGAATAGAGACCCGGCAATTCAGAACATTACTCTCTCGTGACACCACCCCCGACTACCTATCTCATCCCCTGCGGGTGTTTTTTTTTTTTTTTTTTTTTTTTACGGGGGCCGTTACTATCGAAATTTTTGTCCGCTATAAACATGGTAGGGCTAACTGGCCGGACCGACTCATAACGCAGAGCGACAGGGCAGCTTGCTTTACCTACCCTACCCTAGTAGACCCGCGTAAGGCTCGGGTGGCCAGATGGGTGGAGGGAGGACAGATAGAGCTCTCTCCGGTGAAGGTCTGGTAGACTCAGTAAGGGAAAGGAAGGTAGAGCAGAGAACGTGAATAGAGACCTCAAGAAACGATTGGGAATAGTAGAAATAATTGGCAGTAGCGCGAGGAATCAAGCTGGTACGTAGTACACGTGGTAAAATCATATTTTCAAATTGTCACTCCCCCGCCGGTAAAGGGGGATAAGAAAGCGCAAGCATTTTTCTCTTTTCCCTTTCCGCATTACTCCCTGCATGTATATGTCGGCTCTCACCCATTCATTTCTTACTTGCATTCCTGCTATGTGAAGGCCTCTTATTCTTCCTCTCTCCCGACTGTTACATTACCTACATCACAACCCCTTCCTGCTCCCGCCTCTCCACCCTCCTAGCTTGCCTCCCTTCTCCAGTTGGTGCTAGCCGTGAAGCTTGCTCTTTTCTTTCTTCTATCCTTGCGGGGGACTCATTGCGGTGGTATTTTTTTTTTAAAAAGAGGTACGCCGGGCAAGATGAGAGGACGAGACGAATCGTCGGCTGTAGCTCGTGGATGGTGGGGTGGCTGATATCGTGATTGCTGTTTGGGGACCCAGACGCGGCTAGAATTGGACCAGATGGACATTATAGACTACGGATTACGAAATGACGCAACACCGCATTACGCCCCTGCTGTCGCCTTACCCAGAACGCTGAAAATGATTAGAGTGGTATGAGAAAAAAATAAAAAGGGAGAGGTAGGGAGGGAAGGGCATGCCAACCAGGCAGTCCCAACACCCACACTCACACTCCACCGCGATCGTGAGCAATGATGTATCAAACATGGACATTGTGATGAAATGAGCATCAGTCCAGGCCCGCATATAGGTCAACAACAATGTTGATCGCCGCAACAACAATCTCAGCGGCAATAAGTATAATGACTACCAGGTAAGTCGCGTTAGCAAGCAATACCCCTATGGAAATTCACCTAGGCTAGACAGAAGTAGAAGGCAGGCGGGAAAACTGGATAAGGGCACGTAGAGGAGTGACGGGGGGTAGCTTACCAATCCACTCGAGCATTTCTCCATGGCCGTGGCTCAGCTGATCCTTGAGGACGGCGAGCAAGTCAGCAATGACGTCGAGACGTTCGGTCAGGAGGCCGACGCGCTGGTCCATCTCCAGATAGCTGCGGACGGCCTGGTAGACGGGCTCAAGGTGGGGTTCGACCCAGAACAGCTCGGGAGTGTCGAGGACGGAGCCGTTGAGGTGGATGTTGATACGGAGGATGAATAGCTCGCCGATCTGCATATTGATCTGAGCACGCGATAGCGCGATTTTCCCTGTCAATGCGATCTGCGTCGGTATATCCTTGCATGTGTCTATCGTTGAGGCGATAAGCTCTTCGAAGAGTGAGGTCTACGTCGCCGCGGTGGCGGGTTAGTGGAGAGGTCAGGTATATAGAGGGGTGTGTATATCGCTAAACCTGAAGGGGGTTAACGGGATGGAACGGGCACTGGAAATACCTTGACACTTTGCGCGAGTGCATGCGAGATAGCTAGCTTCGTCATGTAATTCCCTTTGTCCCGTAGGGTGATGAAATCGTTATATATACGCGGCTGGTACTCGCTCGTGTAATAGAAGTTAAAGCACTCGGTTTCCATATCATCTGGATCCAACCTCTCGAGCTCAAATTTCTGGATATCCCTTAGGAATCGCTGCTCGTGTGCCAGAGTCATTCCCCATATTACCACAACACCGTAGTCAAATAGGAACACCTCGGGGGTATGTACTTGGATGTCAAAATCGGGATCGTGTTGCTGACCTTCCGAATCCGAATGCGAACCATGCATTGCGCTGTCGTCGTCCGGATGTGGTGGGTAGGCGAGATTGTTGTGTACATCCCGGCCGTTGACGAATACCGGCTCAACATCTGACGTTCCGTCCTGTTCCGACGCCTGCAGGCCCTCCCTCCTATACGACTCCGAATGTTCTTCCACCCCTCCCGTCGAATGTCTCCTTTCGTACGCCTGGATCGGCCTCTGTCGTATCTCTTCGACCACCTCGGCTCGTTCCGCTGACTTTCCGAGAGAATAATTGTATGGAGAATAGATGCACTCGTCGATTAGTTTGGGGTTTGCCCCTCGATTCTTCCCTCTGCCCTTAAGAAAGCGCATCAAACCGTCCATCTGGTACTTTGTCGCGGTACAATACGCTGTGACACGAGGTAGCCTCTCGCGATCCGCTTTGCCTAGTCGTGCGGCATCACGCCTCGCCGTTGGGTCTTTTATTCGCGTATACTGTGAATAAACATCCCGTCCACTCTCTTCGTCTGGCCCCTCCTCGTTGCGTTCTGGATTCGGTAGAAGCTTCAACTTTTGCGCATTCTTAGAACTTCGTTGAGGACCAATCTTCGGCACGGAACCGACTGCTGGCGGGAGGCCGGTAAAGAGGGCGCCGTGGCTATTGCGTCTGCGCAGACGGGTATTTAGCGCCGAGAGCATCGGCGGCGGACCGGAGTCGCCACCCGGGACCGTCAAGCCTGTCGCGCGTGCAGAGCTGAGACGGTTGGCGGTATGGGGCGATGAGCTTAGAGGAGATGGATCTGGATCGATGGTTCTCGTTACGGGGTTCGCGTTGAAAGTTACGTTGCGCACGACTTTGGGACGGCCTGAGTCCTGCCTCAGGAGAGGGGTTCTCTCTGATGTCGGGCTCATGGTACTGGTTGATGCCCTGGGGGGTGTAGCCATTGCGGTGGTGAGCCGAGGTCCGGCTTGACACAACAAGGGCAACGTGTCGCGACGGTGACGTTCTCGAGAGGTATAGCTCGTGAAGACCTGTGCTGTCGTGCTGCCAGAGGAAAGATCGGGTTCTCGGTTTATGTCAACTACCAGCTGTGAGCAGGTATGCAGCGCAGTGCGCGTACGATGATACCTCCACCGGGTATCTTGCGGGGGCTGGGAAGCTCCCTCCGGCCTCCGGTTGAGGAGCAATGCGGGTTATACGAAACACGAGAGCCTGAATGGTTAGTCCACTTAAGTTGGGCTACCCAGAGTAAGAGGTAAGAGGTGGAGGTAGTGGCAGTAGTAATGGTGGTCTTGGGAATAGTGGTGCAAGCTGGGGGAGGGTGAGGTAATGTCTATGATGACGTTGGGGGAATTGGCTGCCAATGGGTCAAGGGGGCCTCTTTAAAATAAAAATAAAAGTTTTTTTTTTTTAAGCTAGCTCCTGAGCTACGTACCTTAAGTACCTAGACGGGTACCTAGGTACCTATTAGCACTCACACACAGAAACACGTACCTGCCTAGGTACATACTACGGTACAAGCAAGCTCGAAAGCAGGTAGGTACCTCTTTAGGTAGATGTAATGTATTTCCTACCCAGGTTAGCATAAAAAGACCGGGCCAGTGCACGGTTCTCCTTATGGGGAACCGGGATCCATTTCACCTGCCATCCCTCTAGGGACTTTTTTCTCCAGAATATCCGTGTTACTAAGGCAGTGCCTATTAGGTACCTAACCTATCCATACTACGGAGTAAGAAGCCATTATAAACAATCACATGGCAACAGTAGGTATGTACATAGGGAGGCAACTCTAGATACTCAACTACTGCATGGGTAGGTACCTAGGTACCTAGCGGATATATCAGCATAGGTTCGCTTCTCTACATACATCCATGCATACAGGATAGATCAGGCATTCTACCTATCAACAAGTAGCTCATACCTACCTACCTATATTGGGGCTTCGTATAGGTGGATAAAGCTGCGTACGCGTACTACCGTAGCGGTAGCATTCGCGGATAGGCAGCATACCATCTCGAAGCGGCTCGAGAAGAGCGGCTCTTGTAAGAGATACCTAGACTATTATTTGCCCCAATCCCCTTCCTAGCTAGTTAAGAGTTACCTGCCCACAACCTACGCTCGATGTCGTCCCACGTCGTATTAGAATTCTATGAGCTGAAGCCGAGCATCGGCACCGTATTTGCATCGCCTACAGGAACCGCCCCCACAGATCCATTGTTAGGTATCGATAAGCCTCGTCTCTATTCTGAACCCGGCATCGCTCAAACGGTCAATATATGCCTGTCCCAGACATGCAGGGGTATAAACCCCTCCTGGAAGCTCGACGTGGTCCTGTAAGATGGTATTGGCGGCTTGGCTGAGGAAAATCGCGGTAACTATGGCGTGTGTCAGCTCGACGATTACCCCGGTTTGAGAAGTTGCCCACTTACGGGAGTACAGTGCTCCCCGATATTCAGCCCTACACCATGCCCGCTTGTTGGTCTTCGGTTCGGCGTCCGGTGTAGCAATCCCTTGAAATTCGACGTACTCCTTACTGGAATCTTCTTTGCTCGCCCCTTGTCCGGGCTGGTAAACGAGTGGGCGCATCATCTTCCTAAACAAGGGACAGAACGTAAGCAGCAGCCCGCCAATTAACAGGCTGTAGTGCGTCACGATTCCGGCCAGAAAGCTCTTGGCTCTCATAAATTCTCGATACGTGAAGTTTGGCCCATAAAAAAAAGGCTGTAACGAGGGCTCTCGCTTGAATAGGCCCCAGGTGCGTTGCACAACTGCCGTATTTGTCCCTGCTGTCATAGATGTCGACAAAAGACCAATCGTCGGTATGGAGCAGAGGCCGGTCAGTCGGGAAAATAGCGAGGGTCTTGGCGCTTGTTTTGAGTTCGGCACGGGAGACAACGCGTACGGCTGATGCGATCTCGCGACCTCCTTCCGGTGAAAGGTCTCGTAGAGGGCAAAAACTGTAGCAAGAGTACCGCCCGAAGGCGCACCGCTGTGCTCTGTCAGCAGGGCGCTGCTGAATTTATAGGCAAAGAGAGACCTACTGCAGTTCATGCACCTCCACCACAACGTCGCTAACCGGTACGGAGAATTCGGATCGGATAAGCGACGCCATCGAAAAGGTCATGAGGTCTGACGGTGCCGATTCGATGGCACATTGGGAAAAGAGACAGGCGCCCGTGGCTTTTGCTGTCGCCTCATACTTTTCGATCATGTTCATGTGCCAGACAGCCTCGCCCGTGCAATCAAAGTAGTGAGTCCCAGCTTCCGCGCAGGCCTTGAAGGCGTACTCTCCGTACTGCCCATACGGGCCGACGGTCGTTATGAGAGCAAATGTCTTCTGGGCCAAGACACGGATTTCCGCGTTGTCGAGGCCGCAGATTTCAATCTCGGGTGCTCGACGATCGGGGTTAAGGTCCTTGCACGTTCTAACGACGTCTCGTAGCTTATCTACGGACCGGCCGGCTACCGCCCATCTCAAATTGGTCGGGAGGTGAGTTGTGATGTGCTCCGCGGTCAACAACCCAGTATAGCCTGCTACGTGTCAGCTTATCGAAGTGAAGTTCATCTCTTGCGAGGCGACAGTGACATGTTTAAGGCCCTACCGGTTGCGCCGAATACTACTAGATCGTACTGGCGAGCGTGCTTTTTGAACGACATTGTGACCTCGAGGTCTTGATTAAGGGTTAGAATTGGGCAGCCGTAGATAAGGCAGACGGGAATATTCAAGAGCCACGGGAGTACCGAGTCAGTCAATTGATAGATGCTTGCGATTAGACTGGGTTCGCTTTGGAGAATATAAGTGGGCGGTCACTTCCCAGGGGACGCCCGTCGAGTCAAACACTGGACAGGCTCGAGTCGGAGATGTGAAGACAGGTCCCGATATTTGTCGAGACCTTATTCATCTTCTAGCCAGGCTTATATATCCCGAGACAAGAAATAATATGGCTGCGCGGATCGGTTGGTTTGATACTCCCTCCCACCCCCGGGGCCATGCCGCATTGTGTCTTGGCCCGGGATGCATATTAAGGATGCTTTTCAACTCGGTAGGAACCGATCGCAGGTTTAGCTACGAAAGGGAATCTGGGCCGTACGTGCCTCGGCTTCACCCCTCCAAACGAATGGCAGCTCCGGTGTTTCGAGACGGTCAATCCGATCGACCAAGCCGTATCTCTCGGCTTCGTACTGGAAGCGGTTTAGTCGGTTTGACGATCGCGGCAAGGGTGGCTCCTATGGGTGCCCTCGCCTGTAGCAAGGTTGGCCAATGGGAATAGGGAATCTCCATCAATTACCCACTTCGGATCGGAGCATTCTGAACTGGAACGCATCGCCGCCGTTGGTCATGGACACAAGCAGCAGAGTATTTGATGCCCCGAGTCACATGACCAAAGCCAATCCTTCACCCTAATCTTTGCCCCTATCTGGGCTCCTTCAGGTCGATCAGGTACCCGTGTACCTCTCATTCAACATATGGTCCGAGCGTCAAGTCCTCTTCTTGTGTTATCCAAAAAAATAAAAATAAAAACAGCGCGTCGCTTAGGCCCTACATTACGCCGGGACCCCACCACCACGGAGCAATTTCGAAATCTCCCTCCATCCCTCCATCTCGAACATTTTCGACGACGACCCGGAACGAGACATCACCACCGCATATCGCAACACCCCCCTATACATTCATTCAGCTCCTAGCTGTTGTCTACATACTCCCCGGCCTTTCAAAATGACGAAAAGGACCAAGAAGGTGGGAATTGCCGGGAAGTACGGTACTAGGTGAGTATATTCATTCTATCGAGATGTACCGTTAGCATCTGGCGGCTCTACGAGACGGTCCGCGAATCGACAATCCTCCTCCAAACCCTCACCACCATGCTATATCTACAAGATTACAACCGGCGGCTGACAATAACCCTTCCCTTTCTTCGAACAGATACGGTGCCTCCCTCCGAAAGCAGGTAAAGAAGATGGAGATCACCCAACATGCTCGGTACACCTGCACCTTCTGCGGTAAGGTGTCTGTTAAGCGTCACTCTGTCGGCATATGGGACTGCAAGTCGTGTGGAAAGACTGTTGCTGGAGGCGCATATACCGTGTCGTACGTGAAACAATTATGAGTGTCCAGGGCGTTAACTCCGCTCAGTTGGGACGGGTATGATGTGCTGACTTTCATGTTGTAGGACTGCCGCTGCCGCTGCCATGCGATCAACACTGCGAAGATTGCGAGAGATCCAGGAAGTTTAGGCATAGGCCGGATGATATATGGTGGCGGTGGTTAGTTCCACGCTTGACTTCGGCGTACAGGAAATCGGGTTTCTACACAAGCCATGAGAGGTCATGGTAACGATCGATTAAATCCACAACCAGCATCAATAAGATGTTTGATGGATATGTGAACAAATTCCGACAATTGTTCGGGTCATCACTGCGGCCCGGCTCCATAATATGCACAATGTGCTCTTCCATGTGAACGAACGCTCGAGGGAACTATTCCAATGTTATCTTCCAAGCTTAGTCGTCCGATACGCGATTTTCACCTATCTGCGTACCCAGGAATCATAGCCGAAGGTTTCTCTACGTCATCCTAGTGAATGCAGCTTGATGCGCCGATGTTGGGGAACAGTGCCGGGCCTTCTAATTCTGGCAGCTTTGGGAGGATGATAGGAGGAGTGACCGGTGTCTAGGTTGTGAAGGCGAGGTCGGTAGGACGATCCCTAATGTCCTCTCCGGTTCCTATCCCCACCAGCCTGACCACTTCGACGCACATGCCATCAACGTCACCCACTAAGATGAGTTATCTAGCGACCTAGTAATCGTGTCTGTCTAGAAAGCTGGGGTGTAGGTCGACGCACACTCTGGGAGACAAATGGCATGGCCGCGAAGGACCCAGACGAGACTTACCGTGGCGACAGTGAACCGGCCCCCTGCTTTCTCTCACTCGAGCTGACTACTGGATCTCTCGAGGCGAATTGCTGACAGATAACGATGATTAGATGCAACGATGCCTTCACTATAAACCAGCTATCAAGTCTTGCCCTACCTATAGGTACTTAATCCATCCCCCCAACCCCCGCGCGCCTGGCCTCTACCTGGCCACATAGGCACCGTCCTCTCGATCGTCAGGTGTAATTGGTCTCCCTCCCACATAATAGCCTGCGAGGTGTACGCAAATTCTACGTGGGCTATGTCCTTCCCGGAAATTTACAGGTCCCGTAACACAGATTCGGGGAATGCCCACTCTTGGCCTACGGATCAAGAGCAGCATAGGTACATTTACGACGCAAAGAGCTGAATTCAGAAGCATCCCCCTCCCCCAAGAGGACCAACGGAGACGCTGGCGATTGTAGGCAGGTATAGGCAAGAGTTGTGAGGAGACTGGTCGCAATGTAGGCAAGTGGACAGGAATCGCGGGGGAACGGGTCCTTTGGAGGCGCCTATGAGTTATGTTCCTTCGTCAATCCTACCAAGTGGCCGACCACTAGGATATGGGAATGAGAGGAAATGCTGCATTAATCGCAACATCACAGCACGCATCGTGCAGTTTCTGTTTTATTACCTCCCATTAGGCGTACCCGTACCCGTAGAGTGCCATGCATGTGCCTAGGGGCCTGAGCGGAATCCGACCATCTGCCTCACCCCCCTGCCCGCCTTGGAGGCAAACATACCGTTTTGAGAGGGACCCTGCTGGCGCCCGGCGAACCGACGTGGGGCTACTTAGGTAACGTATGGTGCCTCTGTCTACTTGGCAAGCGAGGTACAGCATCAGATATCGAAGCCCAGGAGAAAAGCTAAGCGCAGGAGAGCCATCGTAGGTTAGTAAGTGGGAGTAACGTATGCCTAGCAGTTTTCCAGTGACGGATTTCGCAACTAGACTCTGTACCTAGCCGTATTTTTCTGGGACGAGACGGATGGATACTCCCTCTTGTCAAGGTGCGTTGCCGGGCATTTATCATGAGAAACATGGAGCATTTCCACGGTCGTCGTCTTGTGATGACGACTACGATACTGAAGTAGGACGTCTCAGGATCAAGTCAGGTTCGTGTTTGCGTATGACGTGTTGTCGAGGGTGTTGGAGGAGAGTATTGTGACTACCTGCTTACCCTATCATAGAGACCAAGCCTGACGACTAACTCCTTACTGGGTAGGTAATATTAGGCGTCTACATCCAACATCAGTGAACTTTGCATGCGTTGGGAACCTTCTTGGAGCCCACAAAACGGGCTATTTACAACGGAGGATTTGCAACCTGTGACTCCTTTCTGGTATATAGGTACATCGTAGGTATCCACGGCTACTTGAGTACCTGATCTACAGAACCCGCCTACGTACCTACCAGGTAGCTGCTTTATATGTATGTACCTACCTAATGTACCTAGAGCAGCCTTTTGTACAGTACTTGCATCTTTTCGTTGTCCTTCTGCTTCTCCTCCGTATCCCCTAGGCTTCGCGGACATACACGCGCCGTATAACGCACACCACGCAAATACAACACCACAATACCATCCACCGTACCCCATAGCGGACTCGCACACAAGTCGTACCTACATCGCGGGATGGAACAGGCTTCAGCTATCGCCTACTTCCGCTTTCTTCGGGTCACCTAACCCTCTTCCACCATCGGCTAGACACTCAGCTAACCCCCGCCCCCCTGACCAAATCAACTTGCCTCGTTTTACCTATTATCTAATTGAAAGTTCGTCAGGACATTCCCAACAACGACCAGGTAAGGGGGGAAAGGCTACCCATTGCTTACCTCTTCCGTGCCAATTCCGCCACCATCGGCTTCCACGTCTCCCTCCGCTGTCTTTGGAAGCTAGTCCAGTTGGCACGGATTATGCCACTATCGCTGCTGCTCCTGACTCTTTAATAACTCGCCTATTCTACTTGCAATTCTTCAGACGTCGTGCAATCATCTCTGGCGCTGATATTAATATTAAAAAAAAAACTGGGCCTACAAACGCGCGGAATAACGGACTTTTCGACCGAGAGAAAAGAAGAGAGGGGGAGAAGAGCCCGGAGGAATGAATAAAAGGTCATAGCTCTCTGACCACCGAACTATTACCTATTTCTGGCATCGACACAGCAAAGCCCTGATCACTTGCTCGCGCCCGTGGTAACAAATAATTACCTTGGCTGGCGGTACACGCGGACGCATCACTCATCAGCCATACCTACCTCAGTCAAGAACAAGGCCCCATTCACCTACCTCTCATACCCACCCCCCTTGCCTACTCTTATTTTATTTTATTTTACCTGGCTGCCCAGCTAGCTTCCCATCATCTTTAATTCGTCAGTCAAAATCGGGCGAGCCCCTCGAACATTATCGGCACTTATCGACTTATCTCTGTCCCTCTTCCCTCTTCCCTCTCTCTCTCTCGTCCTTACCCTCGCCCTCACTCTCCCGCCTCTCTATGCCTATCCGTCCAATCCGTCCACTCACCCACTCCCATCCACCCGTACCTTGGTGTACTCATATAGCCGTCGTCGTACATACCTCCATATACGTACACCCACAACCCAAAACACGACACACACACACACACAACACGTACACGCACCCGCAGCTACAATCTAGGCTAGGTAGCCCGACGCATCCATCTCCCGTCCCTCACCAAATCCCATCCTCCATCCACCCTTCGTCCACAACCAACCGCCCACCTCCTTAGCCCACCCACTCAAATCGCTGGTTCTCCGCGACGAATTAGCACTTGCCTAGCCGCACGTAGGCTTGCTGCCTCCTGCTGCAGTACCTCATACACTGGACTTACATCAGATCACGTATATGTTGTATTCTCAACATCAACAGTTCATCATAATCTGCCGTGATGGCTGATCAATGCATTGTGTGTCTGGAAAATCTAGACCCGAGGCTGTCATCACCGCCTTCGCAGTTGCTGCTATTTTCCGAAGACGATGACCGGTTGGAGAGCTCCTCCTCTGGTCTGCCGACGTTCACGCACACAGAGGCAGCAGCAGACCCCGACCTAGAGGCACCACCACAGCTGCTGTCATCATCGTCAGCAAAGTCTCCACTCCGCAACGCCACCGACCTTGCCAATCATGACACTCCAGACAGCAAGATTGCCGTCATTCAGATTTGCGGCCACGTCCTGCATGATGCCTGCTTGCGGGAGTGGACTGGAAAGGCGAATAGCTGCCCCATTTGCCGACAAGCATTCCACCTCGTGCACGTCTACGACAAGGTTGGAGGTAAGTAGGCGAGCCCATCATCGTGGCCGTACACCTTTGCGGAAATGAGCTAATTGTTGCCTTCCTTCTCCCCTCCTAGGTACCCAACTGTCTTCGTACAAGGTAGAGGACAAGAAGCAAGTCGCCGAGTTCGATCCCCAGGCATGGTTGAACGATAACCCTGAAGAGGAAGAGGCGGCGATTCCCTGCGCCATCTGCAACCAGTCCGACCACGAAGACGTCCTGCTCCTGTGCGATAGCTGCGATGCACCCTACCATACATATTGTGTTGGGCTTGACAGTGTCCCCCGAGGGCATTGGTTCTGCCTCGAGTGCTCAGAGGCTGCTGCCGAGCTCTTGGGCGCCGAGCTTCAGGACCCAGACCCCGATGTAACCGGCTTCTCCGATGGCCGTTCTGATTATTTGCCGCGCACACAAGCCGCCATGCGGCGGGTGAGGCGGCGAGCCCGATCTGATGAGTGGCAGGGTGCCTGGGGTCAAATTGCAGGCCAGGTTTGGGACGCATTAAGCCTGGACCTCGATAACCACGACGACGACGACGACGCTTTGCGAAACTACCGACGGTCGCAGCAGCGACGAGAGCGGGAACGACGCGAATACCAGAGATGGCAGCAACGCTTCAATATAGCGACTCGCCTTGGGGCGCACGACGTGTTCGCTCGTGGTCTCCCGAATTCTATCTCACACGTCGTCGCACACCGACAACAGCACCCGCAGCCGCCCCCGCCCCCCCAGGAAACGCCGGAAGAGAGGCAAGCCTGGGGCGCGCTAGAGAAGGCTATGGAAGCCAACAATACCACTCGCACCACTCCAAATCATCGAAAACGAAAGTCCCGCTCGGTGACCACCTCCCCAGTTGAACCACCACAGCAGCCAGAACGCAAGTTAAAACGGCCGCGGACCAGACGGGCACCCACGACGGGCGAAGCATCGTCCTCCAATGGAGCCTCGACGCAGACCGTACATACTCCTGTCTCGTTACCTTCTAGGTCGACCCAGCCAGGAGCTAGCCAGGCTCCATCCTTCCTCTCTTCATTATTGAAGGAGGTCGAGATGAGCACGCCCTCCGACGACGAGAACGTGCGTGCCCTCTTCAGCATGCCGAAGGCCACAGCCGATCCGTCATCACCCGTCTCATCCCCGTCGCCTTCTGTTTACAACAGCCCTCGAGCCCTCTCGACTACTCCGCCGCCGCGTGGTATTAATGACCGCCCGGGATCACCGCTCTCTCTCAGCTCGCATATAGAGCCGATCTACCCGCCCGCAAACTACATGCCAACCCGAGGCAATGGTGATCATAGCGACTCCGAATCGAGATCGCGCCAATCTGTACGCCCCCATCACAACAGCGAGGCGCGTAGTCATTCTCCTGAGATTCGGCAACCTCGACCACGGCGCCGACAATCGGCAAATATCAGCAGCAATTTATCTCTGGCGCAAGATGTCTCCCCGACGCGTGCGGCATTGCCGTTTGAGATGAAAGAAAGTATCAGTGGCATTGTTAAGGACGCACTAAAACCTCACTGGCGGTCTGGGCACCTCACAGCCGATCAGTACGCCTCGATTAACCGTGACCTGAGCCACAAATTGTACAAGGAGGTTTCTGAGGTTGCCCTCAACGATGATGCTCGGCAACGCTTTGAGAAAATCGCAACCAAGGAGGTCGCAAAGGCCGTTGCGGATCTTAAGGTGTGACCTCGCCGCAAACCTCGTCGTAACAAGGACGAGAACAACGAATACGAACAGTGGGCATTTATGCGGCGTTACAAGGCTCACGGAACCATCATTGGAAGATTCGAGCAACCGGTAGAGTCATTGCTCCTGTCTAGATACCCCCCCCCCCCCCCCCCCCGAGTGGATTGTTCTGTTTTACTATCCCGAGGCGGGTCAGGTTTGGCCATGAACCTCCTTTTTTGCGTGCATACGCATGGCGTTTGGCATCAGTTCAATAGAAGGGTTCTCCCTATAGAGGCACGGATGAGATGGCAAATGCGCGAGATGTCGATAAGGATCATTCTATTGTTCGTGGATAGGAAAGACGACCCATCTCAGAGAAGGTGCGGATATTGATAGGGCACGAGGTTATGAAGAGGAATATCAGGCGTATCGGGCATATATAAATAGAGCATCACCGATGTAAATGACGAGGCGAACGCGATAGAGACGTGACATGTACCGATGGGAAGCATCGGGGAATTGATACTCTCGTTATCGCTACATAGCTCGTGGATGAGATAAATCTTCATCGGTACAACATTACGAAGTAGGGACCCTAAAACGAATTGATCCGTGAACTGCCGAATGCGTGCTTCTGCGGACCTGAAATAGAAAACCATGATACTACTCAAAGTCGACGATGAGTGAGATTTGTACGCGCGGGCTCGCAGTAAAGGGCAAGCTACAGTAGTAAAGTTTGATTAGTAATTACGGCTGATACGCCGGACCTTTTGGCCCCGTTTTCCCCCGCCAATCAAGCGGAGGCTTCTTTTTTTTTTCTATAAAAGCTCTGTAGCGCCGCCGGTTTCCCTCCGTTCCCTTTCCTTCTTTTATAAAACCAAGGCACGGAATCCTTATCGTCAGGACCTATTCCCGCGAGAGAGCGGCTCTGCGAAGCTTCTCTCTCCTGCTCTAGGAAACGTCCTGATCATTTACGCGTGCCGAGAGCGAGCGACACGGGCAGCCTTTTTTCGCTAGCAGTACCTGCAGGTTTTGAGAAACAACATTCACTGGGTCGCTGTTAGATAGACGCTGCCTACATTTCCTTTGGGGGACTCTTGCTGCCTCTTCGTAGAGCGGAAAGGAGAGGGGGAGAAATGGAGAGAGGAAGAGGGAAAGCGTGGGAGGGAGAGAGACGACCTGCCCCGCGGCGAGGCGCAGTAGTTCGTGGATGGCTTGCTTAGGAGGCCCGCGTCAGAGCTGGTCGGTCGATAAGGCGGCGTAGACGGGATGGGCTAGGTAGGGCTGACGTCGATAGATGTCCACAGGTACACCCGCGCGCGCGTTATCGTGGACGTATGAATATCTACATGAGAGCACGTTCATTTACGTAGACGAACTGGTTAGACGGGCGTTCCCATCACCGTCGACGGATAAGTGGCCTACGGATCACTCCTACATATTCTATAATCAAGCGCCTATCCTTCATATAAAGCAGCTTGGCCTGGGTGATAGATGCCGCATAGGCAGCTACTTGAGCCTGCATCTCCGAAGAGGAAACGCGGGCGTCTACATTTTCCTGTAACGGAATAACGAGAGCTAGCTAAGGCTTCACGGCGATGGCAACGAGTACCGCCGATAGACCTCCGTAAATAACTAGGTCGTGCCACACTATATCACTCGATATACTAGGGCGGTGTTGTGACGGTTTGGCGTGACGATTTGGCTTACTTGGTATATACTTACCCATCCACCTATCTACCGACCTATCCAAGACCTATTTGACTGCGGGTTGTTTTTATACCTCCCACTCTCGATTACTACCCTAAATATACAACCACCTCTGTATCAAGTTGAGAAAAAATCGACTAATCAAGAGGCTAGGGGATGTAATGCACTACCGATCATCCCTCTCAGGAATTTTAAATGCACTTATCCCCCCGTCTCTCCTACTCACTCCTTATATGCCAAATACACCGTTGTCATCAGCTGCCTAGTGATAGTTTGGCAGCCATTGTACAGAAAAAGTTCGTAAATGTCTATGGAGGAGAGATGCTTCCTTGTTTATTGGACATTGGTGCTGTGTAGCAAAGGCTATGAACGCTATAACACACATAACGCGGCCTTGTTAAATTAGGTAGTTAAACACTACCTTGAATTTTGACGTCTTGTCTAGGAGCCTGCTTACTATGCAGATTATACTTCCACAAACACACACCCTCTCTCCCCTTCACGCGAACACCGTTAGGGGTAAGACCGCTATATAATCCGTGTCGGTCACCTCTCCCTTTAGCGAAGGCACGCGCTTCCGCTCTACGCCGGTGATTAGGAGTAACCGTGCCGAGAGATATACCCTACGTGCTCATGATACCTCATGGGCCCCCGTACCTGACTGTCATGTCTTGGCGGCCCCACCTAGCGGATCTTCGTCACTGTCGGCAGACCCGGACCTATGCTTCCTGGTCTCGGCTCTGAGGGCGGCCCCTTCATTCGACTCCATCTTATGTAGGCGCTCTCTCTTTAGCAGCTCCGCGCCCGTCGTAACCTCGAACTCCCCCTCGGAGTCCGATTCCGATTCCTCACGATCTGGCGACTTCTTCTCAGCAGGCAGGCCGCCCTTAGCGACTACTGCCAGAACTTCCTTCGACACCTCTGACATGGGTTTGCGGCCCGAGTTCTTCAGCAGGCTGGCGGGGTCGATGGGTTTGATGGTTGGGTCATAGGCTGCTGGTAGCCCGACGGCTACGGCCACGCGGTGCGCCTCCTCATCAGCTGTGAGGTTAGGCTCTAGCTCGTAGACACTGCTATTCTCGCTATCTGCCTCGTGGGGTTGTCCTAGTAGCATCTGCGCATAGCTCTGCCTCGACGGGTCATGCGCCCGCTTAGCCTTCTTCTTCTCGCGCTTCTCATTAGGACGTACAACAACGACAGGCACCGGCGAATACTGCAGACAGTATTTCGAAAAAGAGCTCCGGTTCACGAGGAAACCCTGGACCCCCTCGAGGCTCCGGCCCTTTGTACCGACGATTAGCATGGACGGCTGGTAGATTTTTATCTGGCACAGTTTCCGTTAGCAACACAATTACTATCCGAACGCGCTACCAACCGAACGGCCAGGCGAAGGGATAACGCGGTGATATACTGACAAGATGCTGGAACGTGTTATGCAATTTCCCAACAGCATATTCCAATACTAGACCAATGGCACGATTCTGGGTATTCTTGGCCTGGATTGATTCCATCAAAGCTTTTGCGTCTTCCTGATACGCCTTATCGGTCAGGCGCGCTTGTGTCTCGATGACTCGGACACACACTATCTCGTCACCGTCATCTACCAGCTCGTCCAGCAGCCACTGCAGAGCGTGGTCGGAATACGAATTGTCGTCCACGCCGACCATAAATGTACGATGCCGCCGCTTAAATTGGAAGCCCGCATGTCGATAATTGAGGGTGAACGAGATGGGATTGTACTCGGTCGACTCGCCGAGGGGAATGTTGTCGAATGCTACGTGGGACTCGAACCTTTGCGAGCGCGGAGACTCTGTTAGCGTTTCGGTTGCCATCAGCTAGGAGAGCAATGATGGAAAACGCAGACGATGAATGGAAGAGAGGACGGAGATGAGCGGGTCGACGGTGATAGAAGCTGGCTCCATGTAGACATCTCTCTCTGCGCGAAATTCGAGAGGTTGCTAAGAGCTCAGCCAAGTAGAAGTACTAATGCCCAGTGTGCTGCGCCGTCGTCGGTTCGTCCTCGAGCTTTGGGGATACAAGAACGATGTACACGCACGCTTGGCTGAGGGACACGGGGCGGGGGGTATAGTGAGCGGGGTAGCACGGCGCAAAGCTGACGAATGGCGCTCCGTTTAGTGTAGGCCACGCGAGTCAAAAACCAGACTAGCTCGACGATCCTGACCTAGATGACAATGCGGCATCCGGACATGCGACCACAAGGCCAGAGAGCGTGGATGCGCCGACCCCGTCTTACTCGAGACCAGCTCGACAATCGCCCGAGGGATCGGAGATGACCTCATCCGTAGATTATTAAGCTGGCCCACGACAAGGCCGGACAAGGCTGGACAAAGCGAACTCCTCAACAGCCGACGGGTCCCCATCGAGAAGCAGTAGTAGCGCCCTGCTCCCTCTACCAATAATCGGGGAGATGCAAGATGCCAAGAGGAAAGGAATACAATGACTCACCTGCGATGCGGCGGTGAAGCCGCGCGAATCCGACTGCCAGCATGGGGCTTCTTCAAACCCTGGGGTAGCAACGGGTTGCGTGGAGGCGCGAAGGTCACCGAGGAGACGGATCCCTTCCTAGATGGAGGCCCACTACTCCCCGTACTAGAGCCCGTCTCGCCCGGCGTTGTAGCGCATACGTCCCCGGTGCTCTCGGTAGCTTCCTTCCCCTTTCCCTTTCCCTTCGGATCGAATACGGCTCGCTGTGCTGACTCGAATCTCGAGGCGATCGACTGCGAGCTACTCTGAGGCGTGTTGGCACCAGATGATGGGCCACCCTTCTTCTCGATGGTGAAGTAGTCGGATCTTGTGGCCGTCTGCCGTGATTTAGGAGAGACTTGACTCTCGGACCTTTTCACTGGAGCGGGTCTACCTCCAGACATATTTCTCCCCTTTCTCTCTCTCTGAGTAGTGAAGTTGTGGTAATCTAGATAGCGCGCGATGCGGATACTATCTATACCTAACTCACGTTGCCTCGGTCAGAGGGCGGAGGGGGCAAATTCGTACGGACGGCATTGGTCACGAAAGACTTGAACTGAAGCTCAAAGGGGTAGCTCGGGGCCACCCGTTCTCGTGATGGTCTGATGGGGGCGTGTAGGGAAAGGGGGCGAAAGTCTTGAGTTCTCGAAGGCCGATTTGGCGAGCCACGTGGGCCAACAGGGATGGATGTCACGATGAATATCGACTGTGAAACACGAGTCGGTCGATTGGTTGATGGTATGTTTTGGTAAACGACAGGCACAGAAATGCGCGCGTGGGTGTGCTCTCGGAAAGCGTGGGCGTAATTGTCTAGAGGGCGTGCGAAGATACGAGTTAGCCGCAAGTATTGAGCCTCCATCTACTATAATATCTTGGCGGACGGACCACTCGCAGCAGTGGCGGTCGCTGGGACAACGAGGTGCGTGCAGACACCAAGACGCTGCCCCATACACAACTGGAGAGAAGGCGAAGGAGGCATGCGCATCCAAACGGCTGAATAACGTCCTGCGCATAGACAGGCAGCTATATGATGTTGATAATAGACTTGACTCACGGTAGAATAACACAGCCGCGTCAAGGCACGCTAAGAAGAAGGAGAAGGAGGATGGGAAGAACAGGATAAACGGCCGAAGAAGTCGGTCAAGTAGTAAAAGAGGTAAGGAATGGAGGGAGTTCGTCAAGGGCGTCACATCTTGAATGATGGTAGGAATAAAAGTCGAGATTGGGCGGCCATGGACGGAGGAACTAGGTACGGGCCACGGTCAGATTTACATATCGAGGTAAAGGGCTTAAGGTCGGAGGCAGGCGGTACGCAAGATGGTTTGGTAAGATACATGCATTTAACATGGGTCTTCCTGGGGTTGTGGAGGTAGCAGGCGTGGTAAAGATGCGTACCGTGGGCGGGTAGGTACCTATATATTGTATGTACTACTATGTATCACGCCTGCCCTGAAAATCCACATACGGATCCATTTATACAGGTACATAAGTGCATACCTAGGATTTATGTACCTATGTACAGATCCCCCTCCCTCGTATGGGAGGCAAATGAAGTATTTAATGTAGATATCGTATGCAATGTACCCAATAGGAGCTACCTCAAGTAGGCTGCGGCGAAGAAGCTTCCTTGGCTCCTTCCCTCTCCTCGCCTCTCACCTCTCCTTCTCCCTACACCGGACTAACCCAACTGAGAAAGACCTTAAGCCTAGATTGGGAAAACGCAGGAAAGCGTTGACTAGAGCTGTAGCCAAGAGAAACTAGTTAGACCTTGCGGTAGATGAACGGTGCAGGTTGCGCTCTACAGGTTTCCTATTTTTACCCGCTACAGTGCACTACATTGACTGCACACTTCCCTGCTTGCTGCAATTTGATGCATATGTACATGTATATGTACATGTATATATAGGTTGCCGCCCCTAGGGCCGAAGCCTATAAAGCAACATACCTGGTTAGGTTATGCCTTATTAAGTAAGTTAAGAAATAAAACTTAATTTATTCTTTTAATTAGATAGATTCTACCTAAGTTATAGTTAAGTATATAAATATATTATTAATTTTTCATTAGTATATATTTATTTTATATTAGTAACTACTTAGTATATTAAATATTTATTTATTAATAAATAAGTAACTATTAATAATACTAATAGATATATATATATATATAATAGTAAATAAAAATTTAATACTAATATATTTTCTTTTATTTTCAGATAATATAAACTTAATATGTTAATAGTATATACTGATTATTTTTATCTTTATCTATATATGTAACTTGGCACCTACCTAATGTACTGAAGCAGTCTAATGAAATTAATGCATACCTCTTTAAGTACCCGATGTACGTGTAAGACGGGCAGCGATAGGAGGTGTCGATATGTAAAGCAAGATGGTGCCTGCAATTTATGCAGGCCAAGTAAGAGGCGCCTGCTCATGCTGCCCTCCCTTATATTTCTATGTGTATCCAGCCTTTCCACTCTGTTGAAATTTCCTATCCCATCTTCTCATCCAACACTGTCTTCGTTCGTTCCCACCGTCTTCCTCTTCCCTGGCCTCACCCGACAATTGCATGCCTTTTCTATCTGACGGCAGACACCTTGATACGACGCCAGGTCTCCGTAATCGTCCGATCCGCAACCGCTTGTTGAAGATTTCCCGTACTTGGAGATATAAGACTCGCACACCTGCCTAAGATAGGCACCTCTTGCGTAGCACGCGGCCTGCGTAGCCTATCTTGATTGCAATTAATTTTGTGCCTGCTCCCGAGTGAAGATCCAATTCTAGCTCAGGCTGTATCCTCAGCCTGAGAACGATTGCAACTCGGCTTCTAACTCGTCCTCCATAATATCACCTGCCTACGTGTCATAATGGCTTCAGCTTCGATTACGATTTCGATATCGGCTATCGACTGTAGAGGTCGCACAGATCATTGTACCTATATCGAGGTGATAGGGACTAATCTTCCGTCCACAGCATCTGCATTCGGGGAGCCAACCGCATTCCCAGACCAGCGGGTTAAAGCCAAGAACGAACATCCACCCCTCATCACCTTGTCCTTCTCACTAATCCCGCCACTTCCCTTGCTCTTGACTACATCCAGAGGGTACCTTCAAAGCCTATTGTGTATGTCTAGATTGTAAAAATAAAAATGAAAATCATTCAGCACGCCATCAAGCCTTCACCCGCCACCAACGTGACTTACACATGGCCGCGCACCTCTTCACTCCATCTCACTTGGTATCCATGCTTAAATGACAGCTACATATCCTAATGTTGGCCAAGCTGCGTCTGCAGAGCCTTCATTCTCATTCCAGCCGAGGACCTAAACTGTAGGAAGTGCCCCCATGTTGAGTAAGAACGTTACATGGCTCCAGGCCATAACTGAGACTGCGGAGATGAAAATGAAGATTTGGACGCGAGGGACGAGGTAGAAAGGAGCGACAAAAAATATATCTTGTCCCTGACAAACTTAGCGCACACATGCAGGCACACAGCATACAAATCACGGCCAAGATATCAGAGTTAGGGTTACTTCTCTTTCTAACGTTTAATATCTGTTGTGATGATACATTTGTGTGACTGCTATAAGCAAGAAACAATAACAACCAGAACGTACGAAGATGGGCACATAGGACGGTTGACATTCCCTGTCTATCTACGTATATGGAAAGCGACTAGCGTACAACACTCTCCATATTCTCTCCCACCGAAACAGGGAGCATGGATATGTGCATACACAGTGTGTTTCCCCAAGAACGGTCCTGGGTTTTAAGTGTCCTCTGACACAGCTCCGCCTCTAAACCCCGACGTACGAGTCCCAGCCCAGGAGGAGCTAGCGGGTCGAGCCGTATCTAGCCAACCACCTGCTGCTATTGAAAGCTGAGAAGGCATCTCTAATATAGTAAACTGTAGGCCACATTTCCCCAGCTACTCCTGGTGGTATGGATATGACGGATCTTGTCGCATCGGCACTGCTCCCTGCCGAGACAAGAGGGAGGACCCTTACGGATTCCATCTTTTCCAGACTACATATAGAGGTCAAGGACTTCATGAAGGGCACCTAGATAGACACGCAACCGGTGTACAGTTTGCGCAACGTCAACGATACATACCCACCTAGGTAGTTATAGGCTGCAGATTCCCCCTTGGGGCAGGGGCGGCATAGAAACAACAATGTCGTTTTTCACATGCTAGGAATACCACGAAACAGAGAACCCTAGAATGGCACGAGATAAAATGGTAAATTCGCAGACTTGACAGAACTTGAGATAACGCCACAAAAAAGTACCCATGTCTCATATGGGCGGTCGCTTGCCGACCACGAGCAATGCATGAAATCTTGGCTTTCTGGAGCCTCGCCGAATACATCGCAAGCTCATGACCTCGTGGCTCTCGTACAGGCCATAGTTTCGTTTAACTATTTATTCACTCCAGTCCAAACCGCGCCTAAAGTGCAACTATGCTCTAAACAAAACTCCTACCGCACATAATAACCAAGCTAACTGGTTCCAAGGTGTGACTCGTCAGAATCAAATATGTACACCTAGAGCTAGGCGACTGACGGAATCTGCGCCCGCAGGTTAGTCTCCTGTCGCAGAAGCAGGAGGGTGAAAAAAGCTGCTCACCTTGACAAGCCCACCACTCGTTTCTCAGTCTCCTTGACCGCCTTTCAACTACTCTCTCAATGATAAGTTACTTCGGCATGATTCGGTGCCGTGAGCCGATTTGGCTGTGATGCTGTCACTGGCAGCCTACCGGCCTTGGAATTTGTCAGGCATGCCTAGCAAGCGAGGAACTGGACAAGCGCCACTTCAGAAATCGGCCATGCTCACTACCACAACCTAGGCCAGCTTTCTTTTTTTCCTCCTTTCTACTCCCCTCTACGTGGGTTTTTGTTCCCAGGAAGGCCCAACCATCGTGGGTCCTGCTGTCGACACATACGCCTACGTTAATAGGTCCAAGGTCTTCTCGGCCCTGATAGCCTGAATGGTGTCTAGCCTGTTGCGAATTTTCAAGGCCGACTAGGCCAGTCACGGCCATTGCTACTCCCACACGTAAAGATTACACATGTATGGATGTTCAGCTAACGCGTATAGCGGCCTAATTGCTGGTGTGCTACTACGTTCCCAAGCATCTCCTCCGCTTCGTCACAGGCTAAGCCCCCTGGCCCCCTCACTTGGCATGATGAGATGAACGATCAAGGTACCTAGGTATGAAGTAGGTGCTCGTCTGGCTCGGGCGGAAGAGGAGTTCCAGGAGACACAGGTTTACCTAGGTAGGTTACCTACCTTAGGTACGGGAGTGTTGCTCTACCATAGGTAGGTAGGTACATTATCTAAGGTACCTGCCTACACGCGGCAAGGTATACCTAACACGCGACGTAAGTCAATATAGGTATACCCAGGGCCGACAAGCAACGGGTGTCGCCTATCCGCCCTGTTTCCGTACGGATTGCATCTATTGTTGAGCCAGTTATTGCTTGGGTAAGCCCATAGGGGGTAGTAGATATGAAGTCGCATCCGGCACGCCTTAACCGACCAGGTTCGAACACATGATCGACTTAGGGTTGAAGACTCGGTAGGGTGATGGCAGGATGATGACACGGTATGGTGGATTAGATGGTAGGTATCGCTAGGACATTACGATATATCACATCCCCGAGCGTCACCCCATCATCCATGCCTCCGTAACCAACACGTACCATACATATACACGTGAGTAATCGCCTCGTGTAAGTAACGATAATACCACAAGCGTATATGTAGCACCAACTACCATAACACCTTACTCCTCACCACAAACATCGATATCGCCGTTACCATCACCATCATCCATCGGCAAGGTGGCGCAAAGTGGGTGCATAGGGTAAACAATCGCAGCCCCGGTCTGCCCGCGCGCACGCATTTAACTCGGGGGAGCCAAGGGAGAGATATAAAGAGAATGCCTCTAGGTAAGAAGCTATATGGCATGAAGAGGGGGCGGGGGAAAGCCGAAAGGGAGCGAAAAAATAAAGGAAATAAGCCCGAGAGATCATTATTCGAGTTTACGAGTTTGAATGCCAGCAGGCACAATGACACGCGGCAGCCATTCTTCTTGCTCGACTCCTCGACAAACTACATATAGATATAGCGTCCCATTATAGCGCCTATAGACTCCTACCGGGTCTCGCGACAGCAAAAATCTTGCTGCTACTGCTCCGACGCTTACCTAGGCGTATAACAAGATGGGAATGGATGCACATGGAACACACTTCTCCCTCGTCTCGGGGAGTAACGCGACAACGAATAGGCCCGAAAGACAGCGCTCTTTGCTTTCTTTTTCTTTTCTTTTCTTTTCGAGATGAGCATAGCAAAGCTGTAAGCCGGCGTCGTTGCGCTTCCTGAGCGCCTCGACCCATCTGCACGGCGAACCGCGCGCCGTCCCAGTTCCTCTCGATGCCTCGCCGCCGCGCCAGCATCCACCAGACACCTGCCTACATGTTTGCGTGCTTACATGCCTACATGCGTATATCCAAACGCTGCGCAGGGGATACCTATCCCTACATACATACGTGCATACACACATGCATACCTCATACGCACATTAGGTACTTAGGTAGGTAGATACCTACCTGTATGCTTGGATAACAAGACGGGACGAGACCGAGGGTCGCATGAGGTTGGCCCTGGCTTTCAGCAGGCAGGTATTACTTGCACACGGGCATGGCTTTTTTACTCGCACCGGCGGCTCGCAGACGCAGAAAACCCCATTGCATGCTACCCCGTACAGTATACACGCCCACATGTTCGGGGAGCCAAGTCAAGACCATCCACACCCACTCTCCCTTCTGTATCACACGTCTCCGTCCATGCCTCCGTACCTCGCTACCCAATTCCCTTGGCATCCTTAAAAGCCCTTCCTTCTCGTTCACGAACCCACCCACAACACACTCACATACATACACACATGCATACATACACATACACAGGAGGCCTCCCTAACCCGGTCCCCTCTGATGCTCCTCTCGTCACGCTCCTCCGCCTCCTCCTTCTCCTCCTCCTTCATCCCCCCCCCCCCCACTAGACACAACGCCCCTCCCAGCAGGGTCTATTCCCCCTCCCTCCGCTAATTCGCTTGGTCGTAACCAGGTAGTATGCTAGCCCGCCCATCTGCCTCCTTACATGCTTACATGCCCACCTACATATCCAGCCGTTCAATCAGCCCCGCCTGCCCGCCATGCGTACACACCACCGCCGTCCTAGTCCTAGCCCATGTTGTCGCCTGACGACGTCGCCGTCCCAGGCCGCCCCACTGCACCTAACCACCACCCCGCTGCCCGAGGGCCCCGCACCGCCCGCGCGCTCTCCCCCGCGTCTCGCTTGCGTAGTCCGTAGTCCGTCTGCTTACACGCCTACGTATATACACCTACATTTTTACCTTACCGGGTCCGCGTTTCCCGCAGCCGCTCCCGTCGTCTCCCCCCCCCCAATCTCCCCTTCCTCGCCGTCTCTCGGTATATGCATAGTAGTGCTACTGCGGGATGAGGTAAGGGTGCCAGGGGGTAGGTGGGAGGAGAGCGAGAAAAGGAGGGCCAAGCAAGGAGGAGGAGGGGGGGACCTAGTGGGCTGCCAGCAGTGGCGACGGCACCCAGCAACAACGGCAGCAGAAGCAACAGCAGTCCTTGGCGTCGACTCTACGAGGTGTCAGCCTCCACTCCGCGTCGTAGGTATGTGTGTAGGTAGGGAGACAACGAGGTCGGTCGGCTGGGGCCTGCTTCGTCTTGGCCACAGGGATCTGCCCATGCCTACCACCTACGTAGGTATGTAAGTGAGCTGTCGAAGACTGTGTTTATGTGCGAACGGGCAAGTGTTACCTAGATGGTGTATAAGTGTGGGTGTCGACCGAGGTATGGACGTGCCGTCTGTCTACCTTCTGGTCTGTCTACCTACGCATATGCATAGGTACCTACCTTCATACATACCCATGTTATGCATGCCCAGATAAGCCAATATTCACCTGAATCCAGTTGATATAAATAAGCCGTCAATTAGCAGTTAGCTCCTAGTTATCACCTCAATAGATCAGGCACAGGCTCAGCATCCTAAAGATTCGCATACTAGTTGATTACTCAGTATCGTGGATCACGGGAAGCGAGCCAGCCAAAACGCACACTCTACACCTACGAGTCAACTATAGGCAGTACTTGCATATCTTGGCGTAAATACACACACATCCCATACGACAAAGCCATGTTGGCAGCCACATAGGTACGTACGCCTGTACCTCTCCTTGCTCTCCTCCGGTGTGCCCCTCCACCCTCGTCCTCGCCCTCGCGAGATCTTACCTACCTCGACATAGGGATGTATCGAGAGCTGCGTGTGTGTCGCATAACGCGGCGTGTGCTGTGCCGGTTACCCCGAGTAGGGAGGGAGCTTCGGTATACCCCCAGAATCGCCCGGCGCCTCTTCTGCAGAGAGATGGAGATTTCGATGAGGAGATGTGAGTAAATACGTACTTACGCTAGGCATGATATGGCTGCCTAGCGGCAGCTCGGTGCCGTCGAGGATCACATCTGCACTACCTACCTAACCTGCTACATCTACATACGTAGGTGGAGGTCCTGCGGTATGGTATGTAATTGCTAGAGACAGTCGTACATCTCCACACAGGCACGATGCAGATCGTCTAGACGTCAGGTAGGACTTTAGTGTGTGCATCTATTTGCTAGTAACGCGTGTTCATACATACTACACGTAGGCGCCGTACTTAGGTAGATGAATAGCCCTTCTTGTGGACCTACATACACCCTCACTCCCTTCCATAGGCTAGGTTTGCAGGCTGGCTTCGCCATATAGGTAGGTAGGTCGGCGACGCCGTCCGTACGCAGGTCGTTGCTCGACTGACCGACTACCCACACCTCCGCGCCCTTGGCCTCCGTGGCGTATACAGCCACGTTCTATCCCACCTCTTCCCTTCTACTCCGCTCTTCTAAGGTTGGTTTTCTCTCTCACCGGCTCGATCGGAAAGCCTGGCAAGTGGGTGGGTAGATCGGTAGTTGGATATATAGACCGATGAATTAGGTCCAGCTGGTCGAATAGTTGGTCGTATAGTCTACTGGTATCCTCTCCTTTGCTGACCTGCCCCTCCCTGCTTGTGTTTCCTACTCTGCCGTCGCGGTGAGTAGCACACAGACGTACCCATACACACATGCACACGTAATTCCATGACGCCTATGCAATGCAAACGTAGGGACAAACCGGGTGAGAAGGACCCCGTAGTTCTGCTCGCCAATGTCCCTTTGCCCCTGTTTTCCGGCCCTGCCGAAGGGACAGGATTCCTTCCTTTACGTTCTCTGGGTGCCCCCATAGGCAAGATAACGTCTTCGTCACCGCTCGGTATGACGGAGTGATGTAAGACTACCTTAGTTGTATGTCCGCGACAGGTTGCGGAGATACCAGTCTACCAGCTTACGTCCGACCTTGGCTTCCGAGATGTGAATCAAATCCTGCACGTCTCCGTCAGCGCTGTCCTACACGAGAAAAGCTTGAATTGTAACCAAGAATAAATCAACTTTCGGGGAGAGATAGACAGAAGAAAAGATGGCAGAAGCACGGAGGCGGGTGGTAGATACGTACCCCTTGCAATGCGTAATCCAGATCGCTGACGTTAACCCACTCCCCTTCCAGTAGAGCATGATCAGTCCACCGCAGCTGCTTGGTGCGCTGCTTGTTGACGAGTAGCCAGGAACGCAGCTCCTCAGGCTGTACCTCGAGGAAACCGGCAAGTTTCTTGAGGTCCATGGTCGTGTAGAGACGCAAGTAAGACTTCACAGTGGGGTTCCACATGTTCGTCTTAACCTCGTCCATGAAGATGGATAGATGATGGTCGATTGGATCAACGTTGGCCTCGGGGTTGTCGAAGTCGGGGGGGACGGGCGAGATGAACTTGGGGCAGGCCGCCTTGAACAGCTCCTCAAAGATGGGCAACGACTCCGGGCCGCCGCGCTGCAGTTTGAGGAGTTGGTCTCCGTACTTCTCCCTCAAGGCAGTGTGGATAGTGTCGTCGAGGCGAGTTGGCTGGAAGGCGACACAGATGGCAATTAGGGCGTACATCTGGTCGTTCTTCTTGGTGATGGAATCGTATTGAGCATTCTTCTGGAAGTTCTTGGTACGTGATACGTAGACGAGGATGTGGCTGAACATGCGGATAGCGTCGGCGTATCGGTGCATCATCATGTAGGAAAAGCCTACGTAGTAGTAGGTAGTGAAGTGTGCAGCCATAACACGCGCAAACATGGCCTTCTTGTTCAGCTCAATGTCATCAAGGGTTTTGAGGGCTAGGCTGAAGTCGCCGAGGAGACAGTGGACGCGCAGCAACCCGATAATTGAGAAGTAACCAAGCATCCTATACAGGGTTTTAGAGCCATACTCGCCAGCGACGGCGGCAGGATCCTCGTTGCGCTTCATGGCAGCGAGTTGCTCGATTATCTGCGATCGCTGGATGAGCGAGTACAGGACATTGAGGACACTGTAGCAACCCCAAGTATTGGGATTCTCGCGCAGGATCTGGCGCTCCTCCTCGTTATCTCTCGCTTGCCTAGCGATCCGTAGGCGGTAGGAGGAGAAGGAGTTGAACTGGTAGATGAACTCGTCAATGACGTCCCAGGCCCAGTAGTGCTATATTACTTGATCTGATTAGCGCGACCGAAAATGACAGATTCGCCTGACCATGGATGCACATCAACGGTAAGTAAATATATACCTATCCGTTTGCATGATCTCTCTCTCTCTCTCTCTCTCTCTCTTATATTACATATGTGCAGAAGGAGGTGCTACTAACGGATGGTGGTTCTAGGTCGACGGGCCCATCGGAGTTGAGGATGAAGTGGAACAGGTTGCAGTAGGAATCGTAGCTCTGGAACTTGACCTCGAGGGGCGCGGAGAAGTCCAGAGGTTGAGCGGCGGCAACGAGCCGCGACTGGATGTCGTCGGTCTGCTGGGCCATAGTCAGGGAGTTGGCGTGGTCGAGATCCTCCATGCCGTCCTCGTACTGGACCTGCTCACGGTAGTCGGCGACGAGGGCCTCCTCTTCGACATCGCTGTCGTCCTCCATCGAGCGCACAGGCGCGGCGTTACTGCGTAGTCCGCTCATGGTGGCGGTATGGCCTGGGAGCGACGTTGCAAGAGGGTTGTGCCGTTCCTTAAGGAAAAAGGTCCTATCGCCGTGGTCTTTGACGATGTAGTCTTTGAGGGGCCGCCCGATTTAAATTTTGTTCGGCCCTCGCGAAAGGGTCCCGACCTACCGGACGGCAAAAATGAAGTCCCGAAGTTTTAGCGAATTAGGGCTTTCTTCTTTTTTTCCGTAGCTTTTCTTCTTCTTTTCCCTCTGTATTCCTTCCTCTGCGCATTTTCTTTAATGCGAGGCTGCACATTCCCCCACCTTCCCAATACGTAAGTACCTAGGTACGTACGGTATATATAATCCTGCGACCCGATGCCTAATTTCTTTGCCCCACCATCAAAGAGAGGTAGGCAGGTAATCACGTAGTTAGGTAGGTATATGAGTAAGGCGACGGAAACGCAGATCTATTCAGCCGTCCATGCGTCACCGACAGCAAGTGCGGGTATGAATACACGGCCATATGCATGTCTCCTCTCTTACTTGCATATCCTCTGTAGTCACTCGCCGGTTTCTGACTAAAACAAGTCTATCTCGACTCCATAGAAATACCAAGTCATAAAGACCCTTCGTTTTGGCCGCTTATATTTGTTCATTCCCAACACTATTCAGGTCAAATCAATACTCTGGAGTCGGGATACAACACGCAAAATCCTTCACGATGCCGGTTGTTGCCCCGGACAAGCTGGCTGCTCTGCAGCAGCACGCAGACGACATAAGAAACGTAACTTACCCTCGCCTCCTCCTCTTCCTCTCCTCAACTTTCATATTGGTAGATGGCATTCCCTCAAGACTAAACCCTTGCCCTAGATATGCATCTTAGCCCATGTCGACCACGGAAAGACCTCGTTAACTGACGGCCTTCTTGCCACAAATGGCATCATCTCGCCAAAGCTGGCTGGCAAGATCCGCTATCTCGACTCCCGGCCCGATGAGCAGATCAGGGGCATCACTATGGAGTCCTCTGCTATCTCCTTGTACTTCTCCATGCTTCGAAGGACTGCTCCGGATGCTGAACCGACGCCTAAAGAGTACCTTGTCAACTTAATAGACTCGCCTGGCCACATTGATTTTAGTAGCGAGGTATCTACCGCCTCGAGGCTATGCGATGGTGCCCTCGTACTCGTTGACGCTGTCGAGGGTGTCTGTAGCCAAACTGTTACCGTCCTCCGCCAGACGTGGACGGAAAAGCTGAAGCCCCTTCTCGTCATCAACAAAATGGACCGTCTGGTTACCGAGTTGAAAATGACACCGGGGGAGGCATATATCCACTTGAGCAAGCTCCTAGAACAAGTAAATGCTGTTCTAGGAAGCTTCTTTCAAGGTGAGCGCATGGAAGAGGACCTAAACTGGCGGGAGCGGATGGACGAACGGGTAGCTGCCGCAGCAGCTAAAGAGACGAAGCTCGGAGAGATCGAAAGCGACGCTGGAGATTTACAATTCGAAGAACGAGACGATGAGGAGCTATATTTCGCCCCTGAGAAGAACAATGTCATATTTGGTAGCGCCATCGATGGATGGGCCTTCACAGTTCGGCAATTCGCAAGCCTTTACGAGAAGAAGCTCGGTATCAAGCGTAATTTAATGGAAAGAGTCTTATGGGGAGATTTCTACTTGGATCCAAAAACGAAGAAAGTTCTAGGCCGGAAGCATCTCAAGGGTCGTAACTTGAAACCCATGTTTGTCCAGCTTGTTCTCGAACCCATCTGGACGGTATACCAAGCAACTGCAGGAGGCGACAATGGAAGGGGGTATGCTGCTTCTCCCATCATCCGATCATATCCTTCGTAGCTAACTATCATATAGGGACCCAACGTTATTAGAGAAGATCACGAAGTCGTTAAGCATCACTATACCTCCTCATATAACCAGGTCTAAAGATTCTCGATTGCTGCTTACAACGGTATTTTCATCGTGGTTACCTCTCTCGACGGCTTTGCTAGTCTCCGTCGTCGAGTCTTTACCCTCACCGAAGGCCGCCCAAGCCGAAAGACTACCGCAGATGCTAGAAGACTCGCCTGGTTCGGCCCATATCGACGATTTAGTTAAAGACGCCATGGTGAACTTCAAAACCTCAAACTCAGACCCCATTGTCGCGTATATAAGCAAGGTGGTGTCTATACCAGAAAGCGAGCTGCCGGAGAATAAGCGGCGAGCTGGTCAGCTCACTGCCGAAGAAGCCAGAGAGTTGGCCAGGAAAAAAAGGGCGGAATTCGCGCGTGCACGAGCTGCGGAAGGGAACAATGAGGTAGATGATCTCACTACAGCACTTGGTAATGGCACGCTAGAGGATATCGTGCCCCAGCCAGAAGAGGATAGCATCGACCCAGAGCATCTGATAGGATTCGCGCGTATGTACTCTGGCAATCTCTCCGTTGGCGATGAGCTCTACGTCCTACCACCAAAGTTCTCTCCCGCAATCCCCCACGCCGCTCCCGAGCCACACAAAATAACTGTTACGGCCCTGTATATGCTGATGGGGCGCAACTTGGAGCCGCTGACTTCCGTCCCCGCCGGTGTTGTCTTCGGAATCGGTGGCCTTGATGGCCACATTCTTAAGTCGGGAACACTATGTAGTCAGCTTGAAGGTTCTGTCAACCTAGCAGGCGTAAGAATGACGGATAAACCTATAGTGCGTGTGGCTCTCGAACCGGTGAACCCGGCCGACCTAGACAGGATGATCGAGGGTCTCCGCCTACTTGTGCGAAGCGATCCCTGTGCCGAATATGAGCAGTTTGCAACCGGGGAGCACGTATTGCTCACCGCTGGCGAGCTGCATCTCGAGCGGTGCCTAACCGATCTCAAGGAGAGGTTTGCGAGGTGCGATATTCAGGCGGGTGCGCCCATCGTGCCATACAGAGAGACGATCGTACGGGCGGACGAGATGCGACCCCCGGCCAACAAAGACCTCGGGAGAGGAGTGATGGTCGGTGTGACAAACTCGAGACAAGTTAGCATTACGGTCCGAGTACGGCCACTGCCCACGAACGTCACCGAGTTTCTAAACAAGCACCCTGGAGCAATCAAACGCCTGTACTTGGAGCGGAACGCACCTGACGTGGCCGAAGAAGGAAACGGAGACGACGCAGGAGGACAACAAAACATAGAAGAAGACGAGGATACGCCGCAAGGCACATCCATATCCTTGGAGGAGCTGAAGAAACAGCTCCAGACCAACCTGGAGAGCGGCAAGGGGCGCGAGGGCTGGGGAGGCATCATCGACAAGGTAGCGGCCTTCGGGCCGCGGCGAAACGGTCCGAACCTGCTGATTGACGCGACCAAGGAGGGCTATTTCCCGAAAGTCTTTGCTCCGGAGGCGAGAAACGCGGATGGCAGCAAACCGAAGCCAGACGAGGCACTGCAGGCCTCGCACCTGTGCGATAAGATCACGCACGCCTTCCAGCTGGCGATGAATCAGGGGCCGCTGTGCAATGAGCCTGTGCAGGGCGTTGCCGTGATCGTCGAGGACTTAACGGTCACGTCCCCGGAAGAGGAGACATCAGCTCGCGATAGCCTCGGCAGGCTGACAGGTGAGGTCATCAAGACAGTGCAACAAGCTATACGGCACGGGTTTTTGGACTGGTCACCGCGCTTGATGTTCGCGATGTACTCGTGCGAAATACAAGCAAGCAGTACGTTTTTTTTGGGGGGGCCCTCCCCACTTCCCTTCCTTTCCTTTGCGCTGTCCGGCCTACCACCGTCGTCTTTGTTTCCGACTAAAGGCTAACGCAACGCAGCTGAGGTGCTAGGGCGCGTGTACGAGGTACTGACGCGGCGGCGCGGCCGGGTGCTGTCCGAGCAGATGCAGGAGGGGACACCGTTCTTCACGGTGCGGGCGGCGGTACCGGTGGCGGAGTCGTTCGGGTTCGCGGACGAGATGCGGAAGCGAACGTCGGGGGCGGCACAACCACAGTTGCGGTTCGCCGGGTTCGATGCGGGGCCCGTCGACGAGGACCCCTTCTGGACACCCTTCACCGAAGAGGACCTCGAGGATCTTGGCGAGCTCGCCGACCGCGAGAACGTCGCCAAGAGGTACATGGACGCCGTGCGGCGCCGCAAGGGCCTGCTCGTTGAGGGCAGGGGCGAGAGGGTCGCCGCCGAGAAGCAGAAGACGCTGAAGAGATAGAGAAGGAGGACGGGGGTTGGGGGGGGGGGGGGGGGGGCATAGTGGAGAATAGGAGGCTTTTGGTCATGCGATGGGAGAGAGACGACGGACGGCCGGCCGGCCGAAACACTGTCAGTAGTAGGACCGCTTAGTCCTGAAGAATGAATACATCATGTAGTCGATGACGGTTGAGTAGGGGCAACCGTGGTGGTGCATAGGCCGAAGTGCAGCGCAATGAAAAAAGTCGTGCAGACATCAAGACTATGACCTATCCTCCCCTGTGCGTATGAGCGTGATAATACGTGCATACTACTACCCTTCCTTCGCTCTAAGGGTGAGGAGCGCCCACGAGATACGTCGACCGGTTTCCCAACGCCTACCAGCCTGATCCCGTCCTTTATACTAGGGTCGCGCAGCTTATCATTCCCCAACCAAAAAGGGCACGTATCTGGTTACCAAAGTTCGTTCCATTCATTGGTGAGTAGGCTTGGACAGGCGGACACCCAGCAGGAGGCGGTGACGCGCGCGACAGAGACAGACAGATAGGACATAGGCATCCTTACGGTGCATTACCCCCCCCCCCTCCCCGTCGCGGTCTCCCGCTTTTCATAACTGGCTATATTTTGGCTATACCGTTAACCTCACCTCCCCCCCCGTCTCGACTGTGCTATTCCTTCCTCAGCCCTCCTGTCCGTCCATCCCTGTTCCCATGCCGTCCCGTACCGTCCTAATTGAACCCCTTTCCTTTCCCCTTAACCCAAGTGCGTATGCGGTGGCAGCGTCTGGTAGTGTAGGTGATATGTGTCTGCATACATATACACTTCTCCGGCTTTGGTCTCCGTCCTACCCCCTGGACCTATACGTCCCAACTGTCACTAGGTATCTTGAGTATTAATATTCGTGTTGAGTATCTATTCGGATCGTCTCACCTCGTCTCAGCTATCCGTACCTCTCCCTCTTGTCTCCTCGAGGATATAACCCGTAGAGAGAAGTAGGACGGTTTAAGGGGAAGGGGGAGGTGTGGTTGAGAGTGAGAGTGCGCCGGAAAGGGTGGATATCCGTCCCTTTGTATCTAGCAAATTGAGTGTTTTTTTTTCTTTCCCTTCACGTTGGGTCGGAAAATGAAATTCTGCCCGTATGTAGATTCGACGATCTAGGTATAAAATTTTGTCTCCTCTCGTTCGCTTATCCGCCTCTGGGGTCGACGTGAGCAAGAGGAGGGGGTATCGTAGGCAGGCCGTACGCAACCTGGTGTCTAGCTATTCGTGTTGGGCTTTGGGGAAGGGGGCGTGCCTAGGCCCTGGGAGGTCCCTTCGATGTTCATTTCGTCTCCTTCTCGTCCCAGCCCCACACCTGGGAAAGATACCTTTCCATGTTAACTCGCTTCGTTCTCATCTCCATCATCCACGGGTGTTCGAGCATCCTCCACGGACTAGCCCGTCGGCTCGGCTCTTTTTCGAGACTGTGAAGGATGTTTCGTTAGCTACTCCGCGACGCACTCCTACTCAACAGCACAACGGGTACGTATTTACTTACCAGCACTCGATGAAATACTTGAAGCTATCGCTCCAGTAGATGTTAGCGTCCGGCTCGTCCTTGAGCTTGGGAATTGGCTGCCGGACGATGTACGTTAACAGGTCGATCAGCCCCGCCTTGGGTTGCATCTCAGTGCCGTCAGCCGGGAAGGGAAATCGGTGCTGCGCCACCTCGAGGAGGGTCACTCCGGATGACCAAACGTCCGAGGTAATGGTGTAACTCTGACCGGTAATGCGCTCAGGTGCCATGTAGTAGCTCGTCCCGATGAACGTGTTGGCTTCGCCTTTAGTTCCGAAATCGCCAGACACACCAAAGTCGCACAGCTTGACTTCGCCGTTACGACAAAGTAAGATGTTCGACGGCTTGATGTCTCGATGAATGATCTTCTTGCTGTGGAGGTACGTCAAACCTCGTAGGACGCCTTCGGCGATCTTGCCGAGGACCTTCTCGCCTGTCCGACCGCCGAGCCGCTTGACCTCCTTGTAGATGCTGTCGAGGGATCCGCCTTCGCAGAATTCCATGGCGATGGAAATGGTGGCCGTGGCGGGGTCGCCGAAGACTCCGTAATATCGACAGATGTGTTCTGACGCGCACTCCTTATTAAAGTTGATCTCACGAAAAATCTGTTTCTTGACATCCGGGTCCGGGTTTGTCGTGATGACCTAAGATGCGTTAATACTATTCACAGCCGTCTCTCGCCAGCGTTGTACATACCTTGAGAGCGAATACTGTCTTCCCCCCTTTGAGCTGGCAGCGGGTGACAGCGCCTCCGGCGCCTTCGCCTAAACTGCCCAGCTCGGTGATTCTGTTTTCCGCGCTCGCAATTCGCCACCCGTTGTCGTCGAGCTCCTCCACGTCGGCGGACCTTGCTTTCTCTAGGGTGAGCTTATCAAAGCTATCCTCAAGCCCCTGCGTGCTGCCGTCCCGTTCCATGCCGATGCCGCCTTCGCTTCTTTCAGAATAGATGGATCCAACAGCGGATATGGGGTCTGACGTGCCCTGCGGCCGCGAGCCGATGCCGTACTGCGAAGCGAACGAGAGGGCGGAGAACTGGGAACCTGCGGATGTGGGGTTGCTTGCCCTGCCGTCAAGAGGGCCAAAACTGCCGGACCTCGAGTGCGCTGCACTGCTTTCGCTGCCACCGCTCGCTGATTGTCCCGCCTGAATAGATGGTCGAGTTTGTTCGTACGGCGCCACGGTGCTGCCCATCGGAGTGGCAACGTGGACGGTGAGTTGGGGACGCGAGGGCGCCGCGGCAGCACCCACCGGCTTCACATTAGGAGACGGAGGAATAGCTAGGCCCAATCTTGGTGTGCGTCCGGCGCTTGGCCTGCCACCAGCGAGCGCGGGTCGGAGAGGAGCGGGAGAGGGCGACATGATGGGGATGGGTGTCGAAGTTTGTTGCGGAGGTGTGCCAACGACTGCGATCGCGGTTGAGGCCTTCATAATCAACAAGCGTTAGCATCTAAAACACAGAGAGGGGGAGCTCGTCGCTCACAGCCCGGGCACAGGTATATGGAGAGCAGCGCGGTGAAGGCAGCGAGAGGGAAAAGAGGCCGTGATCAAGACACCTAGGAGGAAACGTTGAATTACCTACATTTTGGGTCCCAAGCTCCGGGGCCTGCACGGTGTTCTCGTACTCGGGCATTGGTGATATCGACTTTTCAACGCCCAAGGGTTGCGCAGCAAACCTATGGATGCGTATGGGTGTGTGCGTGCGTGCGAGAGAGGGTGAGGGAGTAGGCGAGTGGGAGAGATTGGAGTACGATAGATGTACTGTGTGGATGCGTGGATATGCGTCCGTGTCAACGAGTTGGCGTGGTGTGCCGAGGAGTCGGTCGGATTAGCTCAACGTCTGGGAATAAAAGGGCCGAAGCCAGCGATGTGTAGCAGTCGGCCGAGACTCGTCCAAGTACGTCTTGGGAGGTAACACGGCACCGCAGGCAATATATCCAACTGGCTTACACGCCTGTGTCTATTGGCGGTGCCGGATCTGGTGCGTGAGGAGGAGGAGGGGAAAGTAGCGAAGGAGGTTTGACGCTGCTTGGTTATCGTCTCGTATCAACTGAAAGCGAATGAGGCTCAAATCAACAACCAGAGGCAGTACAAGCTGAACGGAACTGTCCCTCCCAAACAAACGATTGAAAAAGCACACGGAACCAAACAAATATCCAAGCGCTGGGAGGGGAGGGGGGGAGGCAAGCAGGTGATATGGTGTGGAGGACGAAAGGTGGAAGGGAGAACAGAATAAAAAGAAGACGAGATAACCGGTGGAGGGGGAGAGCAGTGGTTATTTCTCCCTTCTCTTTTTTTTCGGGGCTGGTGCCGCGGGTGGTTAAAAAGCCCCTGCCAATCTCGAGTCTGAGCGCAGAGAAGTTGATTAGAGAGAAACCGGGCAGACGAGCTAAAACTCTGAACTTGGACTTGTTTTGTTGTGGATTATGCAGTAGTGTTGGTGTTAGTTGTTGGTGCTGGTGTTGATGATAACAGCGGCAAAGGCGAGAAGCAAAGGTGTAAGGTCAGTAGCAGCGGCAAGTTAACGATGATGTCGGGTGGTAGCGGTAGCGGTGCCCTGTAAACTGCTGCACCTGTAAAAGACGGAAGAGACGGACCAGACGACAATGCCCCTTGCAGGGATCCTGATACGGGGCTCTCCCGCACCAGTAAGGTCACTGTTCGTTCTCCTTCCCCCCAATGCCAAAAACCGCGGAGATTGGGCGACAAGCAATGCTGGACGGGACCAGCAATCAAGGAGCGACCGGTAGAGAGGGAAAGAGGAGAGATTGATGTGTGAAGGCTTGATTGGGCTGTTCCCAGTCAAGCGGATAGCTTCAAGTAGAGGAAGGCCTTCTCTACGTTGGCTAATAGCGCCGGCCTGTTCCTAGGTATATGCGTGTGTAGGGGGTTGCTTAGCTTGCGTGTATACGTAAGTAGAGGCCGTATAAAGAGGCCAGTTGAGTCTTAATGCCGGGCCAAGTTGTGTCTCTCCGAGACATTGGTCGACTCGGAGGTACTAAGGAAGACAACAAAGACAACCCAAGCTCGAGATTGAAAAGACCGGCCCGAGCCTAGGCACGAGCGATGCCAGCAGACAACTATCTAAAGCGTCAGGTGGCTGTTGGTCCGTCGACGTTGCGTTGTTTCGGGTCAGATACGGTTCAACCGTCTGGCGGTTAGCTACAGGATTGGGAATCACAAAGGCGGGATTGGGAGAGGAGTCGGGTGTTAACTCGACGGAAGGGCGAGGCGTGCGCGGAGACGATAAATGAGGGAGGGGGGGGCATTTGTACGCAGAGATTTATGTGCTGTTACACGTGCCTTCTATCGCCCTCTGCGAGCGTGAGAGAGAGAGCGAGAGAGCAGCCGCCTACACAGAGACTGATCCCCACCATCCCCATTCTCAAATGTGATAGCTCTCGAGACCAAGAGGGATCGTCCGCCATCCCACCCACACCAATGAATATGTAGGCACATGCTCTGCACGCAGGTGTTCTACGGAGTACCAAAAGAGATGGTGAGAGAACGAGAGCTGTTGCGCACACAAGGGCCCAAGCTGGAGTATACATGTTAGGTACATACCTCATGCATAGGTACCTACCTACCTACCTCCTACACAATAGCTGGTCCCAGGGAATCCAGTGGTGGAACATCGACGCCTCCAACAAGACCCTTGGCCACTTGGCCCCATCCCACCTGTGTCGACCCCTTGGCCCCCAAGCCCACCACTCGCAGCCCATGTCCGGCATCATCACAAGAGAGGCGCTACCGGGCTCTCATTACAGGGACGGTCAGCGAGATTGACACGGTAGGCCGGGGCTGACATACTACATAACGTCGTATGTCGGTGCCGTAGTGTCTTGGGCGTCAGACCGAGTGAGATGGAGAGACGTTCTCTCACCCGTCGGCGAAGGCGAGATTACGTCTCAATTCTTCAGACAACCGATGCCCGCCAGAGGGATAGCGTGCTTACGACAATATATGTTAAGCACCTGCATCGTCGTAGGTAGCCAAGTTAACCCGCACAGGGTAGGACGGTATGCCCATATAGATACCGTATGAAACCCCCTACCCCAAATCTGTGGCACTGCGACCGCCGGCAAGGCGTGCAGCGTGGGCGGGCGCGGTGGTTTTGGGGTCCGGGTCCAGCCCAGTCCAGCCATGTATCCATATGGAGCAAGGACAAGTTCGGACCCCAAAAGGCTCTTGACGGCGACACGAGGCTGTACCAGATTGGACCGGTGGTCATTCGAAATTTTGGATCTTGGGGTCGAAAGGATCAGTGGTGCCCGATCACGATATCCTGCCTCCTCCTCTATGCTATATCAAGCAACGACAGGCCGAACCATCATGGTTCGACGGGACGAGGGAGGGAGGCGTCCGTACGTGTAACGTAGGTGAGTGGCCGGTGACCTCACCGTGCGGTTTCCAACCGCTCACTCTGTCGTCGGCTCAGGGAATTGGGCAGAGAGAGAGAGAGAGACTGAGGGCGTTTTTTCTTTTCAGCTAGAGGGGTCCCCATAGGCCAGGGGGAGGCGGGAGGGAGGGGCCTATGAAACTTGCGTGTACTTAATAACCCCACTGCACATCTCGGTGCCGTGACCTGCCCTGCCGATTCCGAGAGCTGCGTGAAGTTGAAACATTCGAAACGGGTCGTCCGCATGATACAGCACACAGAAGAGTCTACATCTGATGTCGATCCTGTGAACTGCAGGGGAGGGGTGCAGTGCATCCATTCATCCATCCCATCCCTACGTGCTATGGATGGCGACGAAGACGAACGTGGGCAGGTATGGAGGTAGAGTCGGGTGCAGGTGGCAGAAGCAGAACGACCAGTACTCCATGGAGGTTAGGTACCTAAGGTACCTACCTATGTACATGCCCAGACCTCCCTTCTAGGGACGTCTTAGGTACCTACAGGTACCTAGCAATACCTTTAGGTGCCGGACCTCCTAAGGTACGCCAGCACCTGCCCGTTCATAGGGACAGTTCGAGGAGGTAGGTACATAAAGGCACCTACACCTAAGGTCGGAGGCAAGGATGTACCTGTGCCCGAGTGATGGGTGAGAGGATACCTTGCCCACCGAGCTCAACGCATGGCATACCGAGCGTACCTGCCTCGCGGCAAGGAGGGGCTCGGATGATACATACCTCACCTATCATAAGTACGTGTATGTGACATATGGAAGCCTGTGCGCAGAGATTGTCGGGATTAGGGCGATCGATTGCATGAGCAGCCGCGCGTTTACACGCTAGGGCGGCCTCGACGAGTAGGTACTTTACGGGGATGAAGCATCTCATTAGTCCACACTTCGCTTTTCCCCAATATAGTCTCCACATTTTAGAACCCCTGCCGATTCCCGCAAGCCTATCGGCTTCGACCTTTTCTTGCCTGTCTTTTTTTTTATTCTTCCAGATTTTCAACTCGTCCTATTTTTGCTTCACAATGAGAATACCGGCGCTTAGCGAGAGTCTCCTTTATGCGCCACTCTCCCTCTTGGACCGGGCATAACCACATAAATCCCTTGCAGCCGGACGCGCTTTGGTTTTCTGTTGAAACCGACGATGGCAACGTCCGTGGACGGGAACGTGGAAGTGGCAGACGTAGCCGCTGAATTCGGGTCTGGGTCGGACGACGAGCTGTTGAACTCGTCGCCGTCGCGACGATCTAAGACCGATGGGCACGAGTCAGGCTCTGGGTCAGACTCCGACTCGCTCGATAGCGTAGCTTCTCGGAAGAAACGTAAGCTATCTACGTCTGTAGATCCGAACCCTAGTGCTGCTGCTGTTCTCGGCGCCTCGTCCTCCCTCAATGTACCCTCTAGGATCAAGCGCAAGACTGCCGGCGCGGTGAAACCCGCTGCCAAGCCGGGTTCATCATCTACTGCGGTCCCTGTAAACGCTCCCGTTGCTGCCCCGGTGGACCACCATACTTCCTTCGAATCCTTGAAGTTGAAGCCGTGGCTCGTCCAGTCGCTCTCCAACATGGCGATCAAGCGCCCAACTGGCATCCAGAAAGCCTGTATCCCGGAGATCCTCAAGGGCCGAGACTGTAAGTCTTCCTTTGCCGGTTCGAATCTAAGTATATGAGTATAGTAGCCCCTGCTGATCACACCATAAAGGCATCGGAACCAGCAAGACAGGCTCGGGAAAGACGGTTGCTTTTGCTGCTCCCATACTTCAGAGATGGGCCGAAGACCCGAGTTCTATCTACGCCGTCGTTTTGACGGCGACTCGCGAGCTAGCCCTGCAGATATACGAGCAGCTCAAAGCAATATCTTCACCCCAGTCTCTCAAGATAGTCTTGGTCACTGGCGGGTCCGACATGCGCCCGCAGGCTATCGCGCTCGCCCAGAGGCCGCACGTGGTGATCGCTACCCCGGGCCGGTTGGCAGATCACATTCGCTCTTCCGGCGAGGATACCATTTGCGGTCTACGACGGGTCAAATTCGTCGTCCTAGATGAAGCGGACCGATTGCTGGCTGCAGGTGGCCCTGGTAGCATGCTGCCGGACATTGAAGAATGCTTGGCTGTTCTCCCGCCCTCAAATCAGAGACAGACGCTCCTATTTACTGCCACCATTACCCCCGAGGTGCGTGCTCTCAAAGACATGCCGCCAAAGCCCGGAAAGGATGCGGCCTTCGTCTGCGAGGTCGACACGCAGACATTTGCTATCCCAACAACCCTGCGCCAGACGTACATCCAAGTCAACGTGACGCACAAGGAATACTACCTCCATGCTTTCCTCCTAACGGAGGCCAACGTGGAGAAATCGCTCATCATATTCTGCAACAGGACCTCGACCGCCGAGTTCCTCCACCACCTGCTGCGGCTCCTCGAGCACCGCGTCACATCTCTGCACTCCCGACTACCGCAGCGGCAGCGCGTAGACAACCTGGGACGCTTCCGGGCCTCAGCGGCTAGGATCCTCGTTGCGACAGATGTCGCATCACGAGGTCTCGACATCCCCGAGGTCAGTCTCGTGGTGAACTACGACGTGCCGCAGGATCCGGACGACTACATCCACCGGGTGGGACGTACTGCTCGTGCGGGTCGGAAGGGTGACGCCGTCACGTTCGTCGGGCAACGGGACGTTGAACGCATCCACGCGATCGAGTCCCGCGTGGGCCGGGAGCTAGAGAAATGGGAGGAGGAAGGCGTCAACCTGGAGAGTCGATTCATCCGTGATCATATGAAGACGATCGGGGAGAAGAAGAGGGAGGCTTTGCTGAACATTGAGGAGCATCGGGAGGTAGGTGGGAAGAAGAAGCGGAAAAAGCTCCGACTCGAGTAGGGTCCGGGGCAATCGTCTTTGGTGTGACCAGCAGTAACTCTCTACACATACGTACACGTACAAATACAGTATAACCGGGTCAGGAGGGAAAAGATGTGCGAACTATAACAACATAATAAAATCCCGTTATTACACGATAGTATGCGCTTAAGTCACCCGATTTATCAAGCTTTATTCGAACAGCGATGTGGCTATCCTCAGCGCCTAATTACCTAGCTGATTATCTACTAAACGACTCTATGTCGCGTATGTTCCCGGGATCGAATGAGAGACTTCATACAGGTATATATTGTCTTCAATGAACAGTCTTAATACTGTCTAGGAACGTTGTGTTCAACGATGAAGTACCATGCGGAAATTAGCCAGCTCGAACCCATCTCAGCTACGGATAGCCTCCAGAAACAGCCACGGGCCCTGCACTATCCTGTAGGCCGTAGGTATCGTGACCGCAGCTCTCACCTCGTACCTATAGTTATATATATATATATATATTCGCCCAGGCAACGGCTCGCCGTACCTCATACCCTGCTACATACACCAACAAACCTATGTCTCTTTTGATTTCGCTAACTAGAACTTCTAACTAGTAAACAAATTGGCATTCTCGACCCGTGTTGCGCCTTATAACACGTCAAGCGCGAAACTTGGACATCAATGTGTCATCAGTCTCGGATCGGGAAGTAAACAAATGCCTACGCCTTGCTGCACTACCCCGAATGTCATACACACCTCCCAAATCCTTACAAGCACGGGGTGGACGAGTCCCCTTTCATCCTCCTCCTGCTATGCAAAATAGGGGTTAGCTTTCCACACGGACATGGTAGAAGGAGCACAAGACCCGGAGACTTGGGACGATTCTTGAGCGTCTGGGCTAGCTGGAGGCTCGAGACGAGGCCGGGTTGGCCTAATTTTGCCATGTGGCTGGGTTCTAACAGGGACCACGCTCCTTCGTCGGCTACCTCGACGTAATACAGACTATCCTCCGTACATGGGCTGCCACTTAGCAATATGCTAGATCCGTGTGTGTGCCCCGTATGCAAAGCAGCCCCAGCTCGCGCCAGCCCTGTTCCTCCGTTTTCACAAGCCTATCTCTACTGTTAATGCTCCTACTACCACCCCCCGCGCCGACTTCAATCTCCCGGGGGAGGGCCGGGGGGAACAAGCTCGCCGGCTAATAGAATATGGCAAAGCATGGGCTTGTCGTAAAGCCGTGTCCGTGCTTCTTCTGGGTGCCCCTTGGATTTGCGTATCTGGGAGGGGGGAAGTCGACCATCAGCTACTCCTATCCGGGGTTGAGGGAGCTCCCAACCGGTGAGAAACGGTCGTTGGAGCCCTGCCGATCTGGTACCCCGTAAATAATATCTCCCCTTCCTCATAGGCTCACCTGTATATGCCAGCTCCTGCGCCCTCCGCCGGGACCGTGGAAGGGAGGAGGATACGAGGGCGAATAGGATACCGACGGCGTACCATGAAACGCCGCTCCAATACTTTCGAACATGACGACGACCCGACCCGACCCGACCCGGCTAGTCTCGTCCCCAGCCGTCGTCGTTTGCCCGTTTCAGGTATTGCAGATTACGTGAGCGGGTCAGATCGGCATCTCCGATAACCCAAGGGCTCGGGACCGGCCCCCCTAAGCTCCTCCCTCTCCCCGAGCTTTCTGACTGACTGCCTCTCTGCCTATTCTACTCGGATCTGTGCGTGCTGGGAGTTATTCCTCTGCCTTCCTCTCAACCTCCCTTCTTCACTGTGTCGCCGGTCTCGTTCGAAAACGAGATAGCATTTCTGCGTTCCTAGCGGATACTATTGCCCCCCATCCCTCTCCCTCTGCAACCCGGTAAGTACCAACCTACATGCATTCGTGTAGTTATGAGGTATCTAGGAATGTAGCATCCTGCCTAGTGCCCATGTGTGTGGCGCGTGTCGTGAATGTAGGTATGTCTCACTCAGACGACCTTCCCAATCTGGCACACCCACTCACCTACACACTCACACTATCGCGGTATATTGTACCTATTATATTGGATAGGCAAGGTCGGGAAAAGCCCGCATCGAGGTGACATCTGATCGCCGGCAAGGCGTGAGCCGAGAGACAGCATCCCAGCCCATCCGCACGTGGCTCCTATGCACCGACTCGCCGCCAATGAGAAGCGTGATGGATGAAGAGGAGAAGGGGAAATAATCGAAGAAAAGTCGGTAGGTACCTCTCGTTCGTCCACACGTCCACACGCCAATTTCATCCGACCTGCGTCCATGTAGTATTTGAAACAGCCCACCCACCCATACACACACGCACCCACACACTTGCACACCCATATACATGCATATATACGTACCTACATACATACCACCATACAATCTCCGCTACTCTGACATAAGCCGGCGAGGAGAAGAAGAAATCCCACCAGGGGCGGTAAAGGGGGTTACGACGAGTAGCTAACGAGGTTAGCGAGGCGTCAATATATCCTCCCTCCCCCCTGTCTCTCACCAATCATCTCATCCCGCAGGGTCTTGCCTCCTTTCTTGCGCGGCCAGAGGGTTATCCGAGATGCGTACTCTCCCTGGAAGTATATATATATGTGTGTGTGTGTGTGTGTGTGTGTGTGTGTGTGTGTGTGTGTGTGTGATCGCGATCGATCGTCGTGCTGGTGGCAATAACAACAAACAGCGATAGTAAGTCATAACAATAATAAGCTTATATTGCGTAGCTATGTGTTTCTACCTATATATCTTGCTGATCCGGGAAGGGGACCTCTCTAGCCCCTTCACTCATCCTAGGGGCATGTAGGCCGGCGTATATCCGATGTATACATGAACGAACGAATAGATATGCGCGCACATGGTGGGCATACCTCCCTCCTGTGTAGATCCTGTTTATCTTAGGTGCAAGCGAAAGATGCCTAGGTAACTAGGCAATGGGCCTCAAGGCTAGAGCTGAGCCGCAATACTACGCGCATTTTATCCCACCCATCGGGTTGGAGCCGCAGCGGTCCTGAGACCTCTCCTTCATCCCTCCGTTCTTCAGGCATTCCCTCGCCTCGCGCAGGCGCCAGTCAGCGCCAAATGTCAGCTCCCTGACGCCGCCGCGACGCATCCGCATTGTCTTATCTTACCCTACTCTATGCCGCCTTGCCCTGCCAAGACAATCCCATACCGCCCTCCGCCATGTACCTATAGTGCAACGGGGTTTGGGAGAGGGTGTCGATACATACCTGGGTTGGTACCATACGACTGCATCGCCCTACGAAGAAGGTAGGCAGATACTTACTTCGATATTGACCATCGTCAATCTCTAGCTCACTCTGCGGAGGCAGCCCCGCAAATTAGTCGCTCACCTGCCTTCTCATCTCTATGCCTGTTTCTACGGACGCGATCATAGCATACGTCCGCAGGTAGTACAGCGGGAGATTTGGCAATCTGCCGGCCACGCTGGCCCCGAATACGCTTAGGTGTCCGTCCGGTAGTATGCCGAACTTCTCACCCTCCCCTCCAGACTCGTGCTGTTCCTCAAGAGTCGCTAGGATTCGTTAATCCAGAAACTGAGTCCCGTAGTAGCAATCTATGAGTACGACGCCGAGACACGTAGGTAGCCGTAGAGGTATTTGTAGCGTATACACATACGCAATCCTGACAAAACGAGAGACATAACCACCTGCCTAGTCGGATGCGTTGCATCAATTGTATGTATACGTCTGGCGCGTGGCTTTCGGGCATGTGGGGACAGGGGGACCCCTCGCCCTGCTCCCTGAGCCACGTGTGAAGAGGTTGGGGGCCGCACGGAGGGGTATAGAGGGTGCCAGCGAGAGCGAGCCTCTCCATCCCATGCCGCCTGCGCCGCCCATCTTCTTTCGGCACAAAGCACCGAAGGTGAATGCTGTGCCATCGCCTAATCGTCGTAGCCAGGCACGAAGCGGGAATCGACAGGCATAGCGCGACCTTGTTCTCGAGAACCGTTCGCGCTCCTTCGTATTATCCGCGTCGGTCATGACCGCACGTGCAGGTCGTCATACAGGACCTCGTCTAGAAGGGTACGAGAACAAAGGGAGATCTTCAGAGTGCTGGTCATTCGACATATTTTCTCTGCCCCTTTCGTTACACCAACAGGTTCAGGGGAGCCACGCGAGCGCCTGCACGTCTCTTCCGTAGGGCGTTGACCCCAAATACCCCTATTGGGCACATTCGGACAAAATTTTTTTCGGGGGAAAGGTGCGCCGGCGAGACTGGCCGTTGCGCCAAAAAGGTTTATACGTTCCTGAGACTTGCATGTCGTATCGACCCGTCAGAGCACATGCGACCCCTCCCCCCCGGAGCTGAATGAGATAGGCTTGCAGAAACATCGCGTGCTAGTTTGTCCCATCTCGACGTTTCGATTTGGTGACGAGGGGCTTGGTACAGTCCAGCTCTTCCTCTCATACCATTAGATGAACTAGGATTGCTGGGGAAGGTGTGTAGCTGCTGATGTAAGAAGGAGAGATTGGGACTACCGAAGCTGTTTGATGGGGTTGCAATGTAGGAGCCATGGATGCCACGTTTTTCTGGTTTCCTTGCCATGCAAAGGAGGGTTGCACACAACAAGAATCCTTCGTACCCTCATTACTCGAATCGCGTCGCACCTTACCGTAGGCGTGGGCGAGGTTGGTTGGCAGAGGGAGCATGGCCAAAGGATTTTTCGACATACCTATATGGTAGGTATATCCGTCTGAGCCTAGTATCAATGCGACGGTACGCACACACCTTTACACACCCTCGGAGAACCTACCATAGACATGCAGTTTCGAGCGTGTGCGATGGAATCCGTCGAGGAGAGGTCGGACATCGACGGCCCCTTTCGGAAAGGACAATTTCGATCCTGTTTTCGTGGACCTCCTAATGCTATTACGCCTTGCCATGTGCGCATGGCAGGGGCACGTAGGGGATGCCATTGACGGGGAGGATTTCGTATCGAATATACTCAATAAGCCAAAACAGCAACCCTACTAGCCAGTTCGTTTTGCAGCTGGAAGAAGCGTTGTAACGTAAGCAAAGGCTCTCTCGGATTCGGCCACGTGTATGCACGCAAGAGATGCCTTCTGGAAGGTCGAGCGCTGCAGAGGAATATCATCTCTGCAACCCTACTCGGATGTAACAATTCCCTTCGTGCCCCTTTTCATACGGATTCTGTCTGGACAATGCAGATTCGTCCATCCACCCTAATCACAAAGTCCAAGC